GTTCCTCTATGTTAAAAATGACGATCCTTACAGATGAGTGGAGCCTGCGTTAGATGCACCAAGGCTCTCTAGCTTTTGGAGAAATGAAGAGCAGACGGCTCACGGCTCATTTGAACAAGCCCATTGACCATACAGTACATATCTTTTATGGTGTATTAGCGTCTTTGCATACATTTTAATGCCATTTCTGGATTTCAAATGCGCCCTTAATCCCATCTTGACCACACACCCCCTGTATCTTTATACAGCCATGCAAATCAACTTGTTAAACGTAACCAAGCACTGCAATCAAAATATTTGAAATCCAATCTAGTGTTCATAATGGAGGCATTGTTTGATCCAAGTCAGGAATTTCTCTGTCTCAAACAGACATTGTTTTGTGCCACAGAGATCAGATTGCCAAGAATGACTTGTATTTTCCTGTATGTTCTGAGCTCTCTTATCCTTATCTGTGACACGTGCAAGTAAATTGCAGCCATTCAATAATCTAGCTGAATGCAGGCTGAGGGGTGTTAGTAATTACTAGGACTTTGTACTGGTTTCTCTTTGTGTACCTTGACCTGGCCATCAGTATTTAAAGGATTTGTGTTGGTTGGCTGGCCAGCTTCAGGTAAACCTCGCCTGCAGGCAGTCTTCACTGTACTAGGTCGGTAGATTTGGAAAAGAAAACACAGATTTGCAGGCAGTCTAGCTGGTGAACATGGATGAAGAGGTCAACTCAGTGGAGTTAAAGGAGAAATCCGGTCTTGAGAATAATGGATTTATTGCAGATCACGACGAAAAGGAGGAGACGCCAAGCAGGAAAAACAGCCAGATCGAAGAGAGTCCTCTTACGCGGTCAAACTGAATGAGTATGACCAAACCCTTCCATTAAAGCCATATGCTGGCATGCCAAAAGAAGTCCTGCTACAATTCTCCAATCAAATGTGCTACAAGGTCACACGAGAGATTCTATTCTGGCTCATCATTGTCGCTACTTTGGCCATCATTGCCGCCACGATCTCCATTATAGCTCTGTCGCCTAAATGTCTCGACTGGTGGCAGAGCAGCCCAATCTATCAGGTTTACCCGAAGTCTTTCCGAGACAGCGATGACGATGGCTCCGGAGATCTTAAAGGTAATTTCCAGATTTTGTGTTCCATTTGATATTTTATATAATTATAAAGATCTGTTGTCTAACAAGGTGCATATTATCTATGCAGGCGTTTAAATGCAAAATGCCCCATTGACTTGCTTTATTTGCAGTTCAAACGCAACTCAATAGGTAATGCTTCATCTGAAGAAATGCAAAGTATGTTGACCAGCTCCCCTCTGGAGCAATTTTTCAAATTTTTAACACACATTAAAATCTGCATTTTTGGCTAGAAAATTGCTTAAAAATCCCCAGAAACTTATATATTTTCTAGAAACAGAGACCCTGTCAAATAAATGGCAATAGCAATTGTTTACATCACACAATATTTGCACAATTCTTGATCAAATCAATATTTCCAGTAAAAAAAAATACAATTTTCATGACTTAATCCCCATTTTTTTTCTTTTACAAAATAAAGGATGAGGTATTGTCAGGTAAATAGATACCAAACATCTGCGACAGTGCAACAGCGAAAAAGTATGGTAACCCAAAGTTATCCACCATCAGCATTTTACTGTAACTGACAGTGCATGCTTGTATTTGGATGTGTGTGCACAGGGTGATGGGGTACTTTTACATTTCTTTATTATATTTTACATTCTTAAACACTTTTTAATTTTTTTTTCACAACTTTATTGCTATCACATGGGACCAATGAGCCCAGAATCCTAGGAGGCTGCTGGAGGAGACTTACCTTGATTGCTCAGATACTGCTGGCCATAGATGGATTGAAATTTGTTCAGTTCAGCAGGAACCAGCCAAGTATCCATCTATCTATGGCCGATTCTGATTAAGAGCATTTTATCTACTGATCATTTGCTCATGAATGGGCTTGCTGGAAAACTTTAGTTTGATCATTGTATTATTCTGACAGTGAAATCATCTGCCTCCTCTACAGTCAACATACAACGGCACACTGGTTCAGAGAAAAAAACCTGAGCCATGTAGGGTTAGCTTAATGTAGGCTATAGATGGGCTATAAATGATGCGATTCAGTTTTGATGGGGGAATCCCTACCGCGGAGCTATTGTGTTCTCCTGGTGAGGGGGGCATGAGGAGCCATACCTGCTGGGAAAACACAATAATTATTGCTAGAGGCTATAGTCACTGGCAAAAATCGCATGCTGAAAATCCAACATGCTGATTGTACCCAATTCAATCGATGGATCGATTTGCATACAGTCAGCCTGCCCATAGATGGATTGAATCTTCGCCAGTCCCTGATGAACTGGCCTGGCCGAGATTCGAACCATCTATGGCCAGCTTAACTCCTCTAATCCAGTACTTAGTTCCTTACATACAGTAGATTAATACAGGAAAGTCTTATTTTGAGTCCATTCAAGGTTCATATTTTAACTGAAGCCTTAATGAAGGGGGGAGTCTTTTCTGACACCTGAAACATGTTGGCTATTTTTCATTGTAAACCAAGAAATCAATTTGGAATCTTTTATCCTTTGGTTTGCTGTTTCTTCTATTGGTGCATGTTTTTTTCCTGGAGGATGCAGACATGTCAGAAAATTGGAATGGTGCAAAGAGTATTTTTCGTTAGAAGGGCCCCTTTTTAAACTTTCTTTAAAGTGAATGTAAAGCCAGATTTATATTATCTATCAGGTTTTTATGCTGCCTGTGTCCCGCTGGGTAGGTTCCTCTCTGTTTGTTCTATTGACCATTGTCACTGGGGCTAAAAGTATGGGGAAATTCAAAGTTTTGAGCTATCAGTAGAATTGGAATGAAGGGGAAATATTTCAATGGGAACACCTGTCTATAGACAGAAAGTGAAGAACCCTCCCAATGTGACAGAGATAGAAAAATATCTAAAATGATATGTTTTTGGCTTTACTCATCCTTTAAGTAGTCAGCGATCAAGACCTAAGCTCAGTTCTTCTACACCTTGGTCAACTGCATACAAGTGTGTACCATAACATGTCTGTTCCTCTCACTCTTATTGCACTTGGCACCTCATTTACCTCCATGTATAGTACCGGAATAATGATTCGCACGTGTAAATAGCAGTAACCATAATGATTTTTTTCTGCATGAGTCTCCTTCAAAAACCTTGTGTAGGTCTGCTCTAGACCCTACCTGTTGCTCTGTGCCACCTGCAGTGAGGGCATGTTCCACCTGTGACACACATTCCACACTTTGGGATCCCCTGCCCTGGCCATGAAAGGCTGATGACATAGAAGAATGGGCTATAACTGGCCTTAGAGCAATTACAGATCATTTCTGTACTGACATGGGGAAATCGTCCATACATACTTGTTCATAGCAGGTACAACGTTCATAGCACTTTTGTAATATTTTACCTGTCTTATCTTGCCAGTATGTGTTTAACATTTGTGAGCATGAAATCTTATTCGGAATTAGACTGCAAATGTGATTGCTGTCATCTCCACTTGTATTTAATGCCAACTCCTCTGAATAATTAAATGATTATTGAAGTTTCACAATTTCCGCCAACTGTATTGGCTACAAGAGCCAAGAATGTATAAACCACAAACTTTATTGAGAAAGAGCTCCTGGTGGACATTGAGCTCAGGACCCCAGAATAACAAAGGAGTGATGCAAATTGACAAGATGCCATGTTGCTGTAGTCACACAGGAGGCCTTAGTGGCAGTTGATGAGAGATAATATTGCTCCTCCTGAGTGATAATTGAACCCTTCTATTTGCCTCCAAACAACTGCCACAGAATGATACAGCTGCCCATACGTAGCAGGATCTCATTTTTTTTTTAGTTAAGGATTGAGTAGATTAAAAATTATTCCTCCCCCCCCCCCCCCCCCAAAGTGACATCCACCTTTCACTGCTTGTCATGTGCTAGCGCTGTGCTTAGTTCTGCTTTATCAGCCAAGAGGAATAGACCCATCAGACCACAACGTTACACTCCACCCAATCCATTGCACTGCCAGTCTAATTTAACGGTCAGAAAAAAAAAAAAAAAGTATATATTTATAATTACATTTTTGCAATGCATGCGCATTCCCCAATGTTTTAACCATTTACAGATTCTGCAAGTACAGAAGAATAACTTTTAATCTGCCAGAAATGCACTAAACTCCTTTGGACTGACACCACATGCATTTTTGTGGACTGAAATAATGTGGTGTCAGCCCTGATCTACTATCATTTGTAAAATTACTAAATCCATCCCATGCTCCTCATCTCCAAAATATTGTGACTAATTGGTATTCTACAAGTTGTTTCCTTGATATAACCCTAGAGGTGTGCACATGACTGCTCTGAATTTGACATGATTAAGCGGCATCTTTTCACTTACAGAACATAAAAAGGTTGATTTTACACTGGAGAGTGCAAAATCTGGTGCAGCTCTACATAGAAACCAATTGGCTTCCAGTTTTTTTCAAGCTTAATTGAACAAGCTGAAGTTAGAAACTGGCTACAATGCACAGCTCCACCATATTTTGCACTCTCAGGTTTTAGTAAATCAACCCCTAAATGTTTATAATATTATATTTAACAGATCCAAAAAGAACAATTGAGAGGTTCATAGATAAGGTTTAGATTCACTTTAAGCTCCACAATTTAATCACTTGCCTTTAAATGTTGTATCGAAAATGTTAATTTACTTTCTCATCTTGTGTTGCCACCTTTTGCATTCATGATAACAAGTCTAAAAAAAAAAAAACGAGCAAACACTAGCTAAGACAATATGAAATAAAGCATCAAAGTGAAATTTATGTAGTGAAAATGAGAGCCTTTCACAAATGTAGTATTAAGAGACTCAGGTTTCTCAGCTAGCTTCCGGAATTCAACCTTCTCTCTGTCTTTCTGCTTTCAACTTCCAGGTGTGCAGGAGAAGATTGACCACTTTGTGTACCTTGGTGTGAAAGTTGTCTGGATTGCCCCATTCTACAAGTCAACGCTGAAAGACTATCGCTGTGCTGTGGATGACTTCCACCAGGTTGACCCAAGTTTCGGAACTATGGTGGACTTTGAGAATCTGCTTTCTGCTCTGCATGATAAAGGTGAGGTGGTATATCTAAAAGTTATTTTTTTAATGTTTTGGATAGAAGAGTGAAGGCTTTGGGTTACTGAATTGTTGTATAAAATCATTATTTTTCTGTTTTTCACCTAGGTATAAAAACTAATAATTGACCTCATTCCAAACCACACCAGCAATAAACACGATTGGTTCCTGCTGAGTAGGAGTCGAACAAATAAATATACAGACTACTACATCTGGAAGAACTGTACGGGGTTAGATGACCAGGTTGTTCCTCCAATAACTGGGTAAGCCTGTGTGATGTTGGAACATATAGCATTATAAACACCCCTTTTTAGGTGTGAAAGTCTACGTCACCCAAAGCTGAAATATCAGTTTTATGTGAACCTGGGTGGGCTGAATTCACTGCCAGCTTATTATAGCCATCAAAGGCAGTATTTCCCCCAAAGTATGTTGATTTTCAGTGTTGTCTTTTATGGCGTTTACTAAAAAAAATGAATTTACTGCACCTAAAAAAACCAATAGCTACATACCAACTTGAAACTTCAATGTAACCACGCACACTCACACCCAGCATCACATACTTAAATTTATTTTGCCCTGCCATTCTGTTTAAAGATGGAAAGCAAAGGAAATACTTGGCACTTCTAGGTGTACAGAACATGTGACAAGGCTGGGCCAATCTGCTCAGTCACAGTGGAGTCCATAGGCCTTTGTCAGTTACTGCTCCAGACACTCAAGGTTTACACAGGGCTTGCCTTGTTTCCTGTCACCTGAATGGACTGTTGGGGGCATGAGATTAAGGTAAGTCTATGTCATGGTCAGGGGTCCGACTCGGAGACCAGTAACTATAGCAGTAGAGAACATACCAGAGGAATTACAAACAAAAAAAACCAAACAAAACAAACATACATGGGCAGGTCACCCTAGTGCAGTGGTTCTCAACCTTCCTAATGCCGCGACTCTTTAATATAGTTCTTCATGTTGTGGTGACCCCCAACCATAAAATTATTTTCGTTGCTACTTCATAACTGTAATTTTGCAGTGGGAGGAGTAGTGCCACGTCATTGGTGTCAGTGGGAGGAATAGTGTCCCATCACTGATGTCAATGGGAGGAATAGTGCCCCATCATTGGTATCAGTGGGAGGAATAGTGCCCCATCATTGGTATCAGTGGGAGGAATAGTGCCCCATCATTGGTATCAGTGGGAGGAATAGTGCCCCATCATTGGTGTCAGTGGGAGGAATAGTGCCCCATCATTGGTATCAGTGGGAGGAATAGTGCCCCATCATTGGTGTCAGTGGCAGGAACAGTGCCCCATCATTGGTGTCAGTGGGAGGAATAGTGCCCATCATTGGTGTCAGTGGGGTAGGAATAGTGCCCCATCATTGGTGTCAGTGGGGGGAATAGTGCCCCATCATTGGTGTCAGTGGGGGGAATAGTGCCCCATCATAGGTGTCAGGGGGAGGAATAGTGCCCCATCGTTGGTGTCAGGGGGAGGAATAGTGCCCCATCGTTGGTGTCAGTGGGAGGAATAGTGCCCCATCGTTGGTGTCAGTGGGAGGGAATAGTGCCCCATTCAATGGTGTCAGTGGGAGTAATAGTGCCCCATCGTTGGTGTCAGGGGGAGGAATAGTGCCCCATCGTTGGTGTCAGGGGGAGGAATAGTGCCCCATCGTTGGTGTCAGGGGGAGGAATAGTGCCCCATCGTTGGTGTCAGTGGGAGGAATAGTGCACCATCGTTGGTGTCAGTGGGAGGAATAGTGCCCCATCGTTGGTGTCAGTGGGGGAGGAATAGTACCCCCATCGTTGGTGTCAGTGGGGGGAGGAATAGTACCCCATCGTTGGTGTCAGTGGGGGGAATAGTGCCCCATCGTTGGTGTCAGTGGGGGAGGAATAGTGCCCCATCGTTGGTGTCAGTGGGGGAGGAATAGTGCCCCATCGTTGGTGTCAGTGGGGGAGGAATAGTGCCCATCGTTGATGTCAGTGGGGGAGGAATAGTGCCCCATCGTTGGTGTCAGTGGGGGAGGAATAGTGCCCCATAGTTGGTGTCAGTGGGGGAGGAATAGTGCCCCATCGTTGGTGTCAGTGGGGGAGGAATAGTGCCCCTTTCGTTGGTGTCAGTGGGGGGAGGAAATTAGTGCCCCATCGTTGGTGTCAGTGGGGGGAGGAATAGTGCCCCATCGTTGGTGTCAGTGGGGGGAGGAATAGTGCCCTATCGTTGGTGTCAGTGGGGGGAGGAATAGTGCCCCATCGTTGGTGTCAGTGGGGGGAGGAATAGTGCCCCATCGTTGGTGTCAGTGGGGGGAGGAATAGTGCCCCATCGTTGGTGTCAGTGGGGGGAGGAATAGTGCCCTATCGTTGGTGTCAGTGGGGGGAGAATAGTGCCCCATCATTGGTGTCATTTAGGGGAGGAATCGTGCCTCATCGTTGGTGTCAGTGGGAGGAATAGTGCCCCATCATTGGTATTTAGTGACCCCAATGATGGGGCACTATTCCTCCCACTGACACCAATTATACTTACCTTGCTGACCCCTGCTCCAGCCTGGGCTCGCTCGCTCGCTCGCTCTCTCCCATGGTACAGACACTTACCGGTCAGTTTGTCTTCCTTCTCCGGCCGCTCTCCTCCTCTTCACTCGCTCGATCTTCGCGGTGCCGCTCGGCTCCTCCTCCCCAAGCTCCACCTCCTCGCCGGTGATTGGCCGCCTGTGTGCCTCTTCTGAGCTACAGTTCCGGCGGCCAATCACCGGGGGTGTGTCCAGATGACAGGGGCGGGCATGTCATCCCGCCCACACCTGGAGACGGATAGAGGAGCGGTGTCTTGGTTCCTAAGACCATCGGAAATATGTGTTTTCCGATGGTCTTAGGCGAGACCCCTGTGAAAGGGTCGTTCGACCCCCAAAGGGGTCGCGACCCACAGGTTGAGACCCACTGCCCTAGTGGATGATGCTGGCTCACCTGAAGCACTGGGTCTAAGCACTAACTGGTATTCACCAGTGCTTCTGATGGTAGAGAAGAGTTTTGCTATGTGTTGGTACCAGGTTTCAGTCCTCAGGATCGACCCACCAGGAAGTAAGCAAGCCGGGGTCCAGTGGCAGACAGCAAGTAGAGGTCACACAGAAGTGTAGTTGGTAAACAAGCCGAAGGTCGGTAACAAGTTGTTTCAGGTTGGGATCAAGGCAGAAGAGTAGTCGTGGAACAAGCCAAAGGTTGGTAACAAGAGGTAGCGGGGATACGCACGGCAGCAGAAGAGACTAAAACGAGATATTGGCTGAAGAGAGCGCAATAATCTGGCAAACAGGAAGTGCAAAGGCATGGCTAAAATAGGAAGTTCATGGGAGGAGCTAGAGGTTCAAGGCAAACAAGACACATGGCAAGGTTGTCGTAAGAGATCAGGCAGTTAACTATCCAGCATTAGGTGGCTCAGCAAGAAGAGACATTACAGCAAGGGTCACAGCTTCAGACCTCAATCCGGTCAGTCTGCTTCTATTAAAGTGAATCTGCATTGGCAAAGTACAGATTCACTTTAAACCTAACTGTAAACCCAACTCTGAATCTTAATCCTTAAAGTGGAATCACATTACATCCGACCGGATACATCTGAATTCATTATTAATAATCAAAGCAAACTCACCCATCCATCCATGTCTCCATGCTTTATTTTGCTGAGACATCATTTTTAAAAACACCCCCTAGCATTTGTGGCAGTGGCCATCTTGAGTAAGTGCAGATGATTCATGTAGCAATTACTTCCATCTGTCCTTAGCTCAGGCATCGGCCGAGATGAGAACCCTCCCTCCCTTCCCGAAGACTGGTGGAATGTATGACATCATTTTCCTAGGCAGGAAACCAGGAAGTAACTGAAGTAATGTAAAAAAAAAGTTTAAAACAAGTAAATATAATATACTTACCCATCAGTTTACTAATCCTAGCAGCATAAAGATTGAAAATAATCAGTGCTGATTAATAGAGAGAGAGATAACCTCAAACTAACAATCTGAACCCTTAAAGTGTATCTAAACCCTACAAAAATGAAATATAGTGCAGTTTACCATTTCTGGATGTGGTGGCTGCAATAGTTTGTTTTTCCTTTTTTTTTTTTCTCCTGCCAGTAGCACACTTTCAGTCCCTGAGTGACAATGCTCACTCACTGTACTCAGTGACCTCAAATACAGTAGACAGTGATTGAAAACCTGTCAGAGGTTCTGGTCCTTCCCTAACCTAACCCTTCTCTTGTGTTCACTTTGTTGTCAGTCCCATTTGCTGTCTATACAGCAGCTAAACTTATACAGGGGCTCTCTGCTTCTAGCAGTTTGTGATCCCTAGGCATTACATGAGTGCAGTGCGTGCTAAAAAAATCGTTATTTGTGATTCCCGTCACTAAAGGCATTGTATCACACAGGCAGAAAGACTGAATGCAAACATGCCATTTGGCATAGGCTTATGATGACCACTATTAAAGCATAGAGAAAGAAAATGCAGAAGTAATAGGTCCTATCTGTACATGTTGTAGGAAATCACTGGGTGTGTTAACAACTAACATGTTTTAGAAGTCCAATTATCTTAATAACTGTTTTTTGATGAATATCCTGTGATCCAGGCATCCAATGTTCTTTTTAGGTGAGCATGTATGGAAAACTCAGCTTGGGAGTACGACAGTGTCAGGAAACAATGCTACTTTCATCAATTCCACAAAGAGCAACCCGATCTAAATTTCCACAATCCAGACATCCACAATGAAATTTTAGTAAGTTGAACGTTTTATGATGGTTTTATGTTGGTGTAGTTTTGTCTATCTATTATTATATTAAGTACCGTTTAAAAAAAATGCCAACAAAAAGACCTTACCCATGAGAAGAACTGTAGGCAAAACACAAAGTTCACTGACGGATGAGCCGTCTGAGCCATGCCTTTTTTTTTTTTTTTTTTCTTTTTTTTTTTTAGTGAACCACTTGGCACAAATCTAAATATCTATATCCGATTTTGACCTACAACAGCAACAAAAGGACTGCCTTGACATGCAGGTTTCTGCATTTATACTGCAATAGCCTTTGCACTTCCAGTATATGAATATGAGTTGGTAACCTCACAGATCAAAGTTTTGAAGTTGCCACTGATGAAACAAGCATGCGGAAAGTGAGGTCTAAATCTCTGAACGTTTGCATACATGTTCATAAAAAGCTAAGAGAAAAAAAAAACAACACAAGTGCTCAAGTCTGTGAGCATCCCAGGACCACAGTAGCAGTCACTCGCTGAGGTGCGGCTCTCTAAAGATCGGGGAATCTTGATAATACTGGAAGAAAGCAAAGAAGGGGCGCACTCTCCTTGTGCAATACCGTGATCAAAAGGAATTTATTTAAAAATGACCAAAGTATATACTCACAAACCAAGATTCATAAAACAAGCTCGGAACCAATGTGACAGTCCGAGCTAGTGGTAGTCTGGCAACAGGGTATGATAATGCATTTCGGGAGACGTACTCCCTTCTTCAGAGCTAAACAGAAGGGAGTACGTCTCCCGAAACGCGTTAGAAACCCTATTGCCAGACTACCGATTGCTTGGACTGCCACATTGGTTTCTAGCTTGTTTTATGAATCTTGGTTTGTGAGTATATACTTTCGTCATTTTTTAAAATAAATTCCTTTTTTTCACGGTAATGCACGAGGAGAGTGCGCCCCTTCTTTGCTTTCTTCATAAAAAGCTGCCCAAACGGTCCAATTTGTAATCTATAAATAAACCCTGTAGCCTGGCATAGAAAAAGGAACAAGCTTGAAGTATTGCAACATTTAATAAATAAATCAAATATTAGGACTAGAGATGAGCGAATTATTAAAAAATTCGATTCGGCTGATTCGCCGAATTTGCGGAATAAATTCGATTCGATGCAAATTTATTCGCTGCGAATTTAACTTATTAAAAGGGTTTCTAGGCTTCAGAGAGCCTTTATATTAGTGCAGAACACTGTACCTTTAATTTAAATGCCCTTGGAGTCTGCTGGGGAAGAGAAATAATACTGACAGTCAGTATGACATGCAGATGAGTGCCGTCGATCTTAGAATCACCGCACACTTCACTCATTTGGGCAGTCACGGGGCCAAAACCAGAGTGTGGAGCCACAGTTGTGGCGGTGGAGGCAGCAGCAATGGGAGGCCATACAGCACCCTATGACAAAATGGAACCAACCAGCAGTGTGAGGAGACCTGAAAGTGGCACATGGCCCTGGGCGATGGAGACAGCAGCAATGGGAGGCCGTACAGGGACCCATGACACACTCTGGACCTGGCAGCAGCATGAGGAGGCGGTACAGGGGCCCATGGCATATTAGGGGCCTGGCAGCAGCATGAGGAGGCGGTACAGGGGCCCATGGCAGAGTGGCGAAGCGTAAGCAGCTTAAATTGAAGGCCATACAGAGGCCTATGTTTAAAAAGTCCCCCCAGCAGCAGTGTGGGGGGACGACTATCAAGAATCCAATGGCAGAGTGGCGGAGCAGAAGCAGCTTCAATTGAAGAAGAAGAGGATGAGGAAGAAGAAGAAGAGGATGAGGATGATGATGAAGAAGAAGATGAGGATGAAGAAGAAGAAGAGAGGATGAGGAAGAAGAAGAAGAAGAGGATGAGGATGAAGAAGAAGAGGATGAGGATGAGGAAGAAGAAGAAGAAGAGGATGAGGATGAAGAAGAAGATGAGGATGAAGAAGAAGAAGAGGATGAAGATGAAGAAGAGGATGAGGATGAAGAAGAAGAAGAAGAGGATGATGAAGAAGAAGAAGAAGAGGATGAGGATGAAGAAGAAGGAGAGGATGAGGATGAAGAAGAGAAGAAGAAGAAAGGATGAGGATGAAGAAGAAAAAGAGGATGATGATGATGAAGAAGAAAGAAGAAGAAGAAGAGATGAGGATGAAGAAGAAGAAGAAGAAGATGAGGATGAAGAAAAAAGAGGATGAGGATTGAGAAGAAGAAGAGGAGGAGGATGAGGAAGAAGAAGAAGAGGATGAAGAAGAAGAGGATGAGGATGAGGATGAAGAAGAAAGAGGATAGGAGAAAGTAGAAGAGGATGAGGATGAAGAAGAAGAAGAGGATGAGGAAGAGGATGAGGAAGAGGAGGATGAGGATGATGAAGAAGAGAGGATGAGGAAGATGGATTTTGATGGTGAGGAAGAAGAGGAAGAAGAAGAAGAAGAAGAGGATGAGGAAGAAGAAGAAGAAGAGGATGAGGATGAAAAAGAAGAAGAAGAAGAAGAAGAGGATGAGGATGAAGAAGAGGATGAGGATGAAGAAGAAGAAGAGGATGATGGTGATGGAAGAAGAAGAAGAAGAAGAGGATGAGGATGATGAAGAAGAGAGGAGGAGAGGATGAAGAAGAAGAGGATGAGGGTGAAGAAGAAGAAGAGGATGAGGATGATGATGAAGAGAAGAGCGAGGATGTGGATGAGGATGATGAAGAAGAAGAGGATGAGGATTGAAGAAGAAGAAGAGGAGGATGAGGATGATGAAGAAGAAGAGGATGAGGATGAGAAGAGAATGAGGATGAAGAAGAGGATGAGGATGAAGAAGAAGAAGAAGAGAAGAGGATGAGGATGAAGAAGAAGAAGAAGAAGAGGATGAGTGATGAAAGAAGAGGATGAGGATGAAGAAGAAGAAGAAGAAGTAGGATGAAAATAAGAAGAATTCCAGTACAGCAAAAAGTGTATCTGCAGAGAGCTCCGCTATTTCTGACAGTTCTCTGACAGTTCCTTCACATTTACAGCGGTTGAAACATTGTATCTATTTTGTTTCCGAATAAAAACATCTGTATCCTAAATGGAAACAAATAGATACAATGTTTCAACCGCTGTAAATGTGAAGGAACTGTCAGAGAACTGTCAGAAATAGCGGAGCTCTCTGCAGGGACACTTTTTGCCGGCTGTAGAAGGGATGAAAATCGGACCGATCGGGGACAATTCGATTCGTGCATCCGAAGTTTGCTAATTTTCGGATTCGGCGTGAATCGAATTTTTCCTAATATTCTAAACGAATTCCACTTCGCCAAGTTCGATTCGCTCATCTCTAATTAGGACATTAGTGAGGAGTCTGGTAGTCGATCTTCTATTTTTCTGGTTTTCATTAGGGTGTTCTTAAAAAGGAACCTCCTATAGTGGAGACCAATGGTTTTCAAGCAAGGGGCTGCAGCTCACTGCCAAGCCATGGCCTCCCTCCTGCCGAGACGTGGATTTATTGACAGAATGGTAGCTCAGTGACACCATCTCTTCTTGGGTAGCATTTGCCATCTTTGTGAGAAGCGAGGCCACTGATTGTGAGTTGAAAGATGTGGAGGAGGCAAGGTGTTTTAAGAAAGGACAGTGCAGGGGCGGACTGACAACTCATGGGGCCCCGGGCAATAGGACATCATGGGACCCCTGTGTCCTTGCCCAAACTCAAAAAAGCCTATGAAAAAGGTACCAGGGGCATCTCATGGGGCCCCTTACTGACGCCAAGGCCCTCGAGCAGTTCCCGAGTTTCCAAATGGGTCAGTCCGCCCCTTGGGACAGTGTGTATCTGAGGTAGAGGTGAGTGGGGTGTGAGGTGTAGCGGAGGCCCAATAGAGATACTAGGGTCCAGGGGTGGACTGACCATTTGGAAACTCGGGCACTGCCCGAGGGCCCAGGGTCAGTAGGGGGCCCCATGAGATGCCCCTGGTACCTTTTTCATAGGCTTTTTTGAGTTTGGGCAAGGACACAGGGGCCCCATGATCCCCTATTGCCCGGGGGCCCCATGAGCTTTCAGTCCGCCCCTGCTAGGGTCCAAGTAAGAGCTGGAGAGTGAAAAGCAATGTACATATGGTGTGTATCTGTACTGCTTCCATTGCGTTACCTGCGAAGCCTAATAGGGAGCTTACACAGCATATTTAATAAGTGACAAAAAGAAGACTTGTACAGAACTTTCCTCCTGAAAATTCATATTGCTTGGCTGTTGTTCTGACTCCTTTAACCCTTACACTACTGGAGCCGTTTTTGCAGGGGGTTTTTTTCCGCACATGTATAAAAAAATTATTTTAGGCCTGAAGATTACACAAAACTGCAAAAACATTATATATTTTCTGAAAACAGACACTCTAGAGAATAAAATAGTTGTATTTTCATTTTTTTATGAAACAGGATATTACCACAAAGGTCTAGGAAAAGCAAAATTTCATAAAAAAAACCCATAACATTTTGGGGTACACAAACACAATAAATTACCCGTTTTTTTTGTAAAATATAAAAGAAAAGGTTGCACCAAGTAAACTGATGCCCAACACCTCAAACCTAAAATTTGTGTGAGCTCATGAAATGACAACAGACTTCAGTACCCTATATTTTCTATAAGCGAAAGCTCTAAAGGCCCCCTATAGGTCATCACTTTAGTGTTGTGGAGGAGGTCTGGTACTAGAATTATTGCTCTCACTAAGGTATGCATGACACATAACTTGTATTGCAATCGACATTTTCATACTTAGGTGCATTTATATTTGCACATGCTTATATGTTTGGGTGGGGAGGCCTCAAAATGTATTTTTTTGGGGGGGATTTTATGGTGTAACTTAAATTTTTTACAATTTAATTTTTTTTCCCATCACATATGGGTAAAAAAGTCCCCTATCGGATGATTTTTTGGTGACAGGTTCTCTTTAATGAGACACCCTGGATGTCTCTTCTGTACTCAACTGAATGAAATGGAAACTGACATGGGGACCAGGAAGTGACAGCAAATACATCAGTTTCTGGGTCAGCAGCCAGGAGAAGAGGAGGGCAGACGTAAGTCAGTTCTCCACCCTCCCCTCCAGCTGCAAGCACCCGTTATGTCAATCCCAGGCCCGCAGATGGGCAAGCAGTGCCCAAGATGCGTGTTAGGGGTGTGGGGCACCATTACCCGGGGTGCGTGGAAGCAATTGGGCGTCAGTGCAGCCTCCTGAATGCTTGCACCCGACACGCAGAAGTCTGCTTGTTAGATTTACACACAATCCCAGGAATGTGTGTAACCCAGGGGCAGACTGACAACTCATGGGGCCCCCGGGCAATAGGGGACCATGGGGCCCCTGTGTCCTTGCCCCCCAAACTCAAAAAAGCCTATGAAAAAGGTACCAGGGGCATCTCATGGGGCCCCCTACTGACCCCAGGCCCTCAGGCAGTGCCCGAGTTTCCAAATGGTCAGTCCGCCCCTGGTGTAACCCCCCATATCAGGTCTGTATGACATATGGACCTGACATCGAAAACTTTCATCATGACCCATGGTATGTCTAGCAGTAGTTATTCACATTCTACTGGATGTCTTCTGTAATGCTGATGTTGCATCACTCATCACAGTAGCTGCATGAAGAGGAGCACACTACCTGGGTGAGTGGTGAAACGTTCTTGGTATTGCTGAACTAGTCTAGTTGAATGTGATTAAATACTTCTAATTATACAACTGTGTAATATTAGAGGGCGTTTTCCTTTGTGGTGCATTACCGCTTGCATGTGAATGTGCATTATGTTAAATGAGCCCACTTATTTGCATTCGGCTGCAGACGCATGGCAAAATGGAACAAAAAATTGATTTGCACTTAAAGTGGTTGTAAACCTCAGATATGAAATATGAACAAAGCATATCCCTCTATAGTGTGTACATGCCTCAATTAAGAGCACTAAGTGTGATTTCTGTCTGTCTTATTCCTCTGCTATCTGTATGAATCACTTCTGATGAGATTTCCTGACACCAATCAGCTCTCAGAGCTCTTCTCACTGAGCTCTGCAGTGTGTAAGTTCAGCATTCTGCTCCCTTTTTTTCTGACAGCTCAGACATGCTCAGACATGCTTTATGAATTTCAGACTTTGAATGGATGTAGAGGAGAGAAGACTGTAGATAAATGGGTACAACTTATGTAGGAGGATTTGTTTAATCTCTGTGTATCTCCTGAGGCCAGTCACTTCATTGGGTATATGGAAGGGTTTACAACCACTTTTTTGCAGTACACCCCAGTGCATAGTACATGTATTGTAGGGACTTGCAGTACATTAGGAGGCACATACTGCCATTTAAGACTGGTTCACACCACAATTTCTGCTTTCTGGATGTGCTTCTGCATATGCATTTTTGATGTGTTCCAGTGTGTTTCTTTTTTTGCTTCATCTCAACTGAGGACAGGTATGTTTTGGTGCTTTTTTTTTTTATGCATTTTGTTGCGTTCAATATAAAAAAAATGTAACGTTCTAATTTTGTTGACTGCACTGGAACACACTGCACTGGTGTGAACTAGGGCCTTTGGAATCCATGTTAACCACTTTCCCCGCACTTTATAGCAGAAGTACTGCTACAGGGCAGCATGGCTATATATACGTGATTTGCATTTCTGGGTAAGGGGGGACGGGCACGTGCGCGCCCCTACCCGCACAGCTATTGGTTCCTGGGGATGTCAAACACCGGGTCCCGGCTTGGACTCGGTGATTGTCGGCAGGGCTGAGAGGGGAGAGATCTGTGTGTAAACAACACTTATCTCTCTCCTGTCAGCATGGACATACTGCTTTGTATCTCTCTGCACAGCCGAGATACAAAGCAGCATGTCTCCAAGGTAAAACAGCACACAATGTAAAACACACACAGCACACAGTTAACCCTTTGATCACCCCAGATGTTAACCCCTTCCTACCCAATGTCATTAATACAGTGTCAGTGCTTTTTATTAGCCCTGATCACTGTATTAGTGTCACTGGAGATGTCAGTGATAGTCAGTTCCCACCCAGTGTCAGAATGCCTGCCGCAGTCCTGCTATAAGTCACTGATCGCCACCATTACTAGTGTGTATATATATATATATATATATATATATATACACAGTGGGGCAAAAAAGTATTTAGTCAGCCACCAATTGTGAAAGTTCTCCCACTTAAAAAGATGAGAGAGGCCTGTAATTGGCATCATAGGTAGACCTCAACTATGAGAGACAAAATGAGAAAAAAAATCCAGACAATCACATTGGCTGATTTGGAAAGAATTTATTTGCAAATTATGGTGGAAAATAAGTATTTGGTCACCTACAAACAAGCAAGATTTCTGGCTCTCACAGACCTGTACCTTCTTCTTTAAGAGGCTCCTCTGTCCTGCACTCATTACCTGTATCAATGGCACCTGTTTGAACTTGTTATCAGTATAAAAGACACCTGTCCACAACCTCAAACAGTCACACTCCAAACTCCACTATGGTAAAGACCAAACAGCTGTCGAAGGACACCAGAAACAAAATTGTAGACCTGCACCAGGCTGGGAAGACTGAATCTGTAATAGACAAGCAGCTTGGTGTGAACAAATCAACTGTGGGAGCAATAATTAGAAAATGGAAGACATACAAGACCACTGATAATCTCCCTCGATCTGGGGCTCCACGCAAGATCTCACCTCGTGGGGTCAAAATGATCACAAGAACGGTGAGCAAAAATCCCAGGACCACACAGGGGGGACCTAGTGAATGACCTGCAGAGAGCTGGGACCAACGTAACAAAGGCTACCATCAGTAACACACTACGCCGCTAGGGACTCAGATCCTGCAGTGCCAGACGTGTCCCCCTGCTTAAGCCAGTACATGTCCGGGCCCGTCTGAAGTTTGCTAGAGAGCATTTGGATGATCCAGAAGAGAATTGGGAGAATGTCATATGGTCAGATGAAACCAAAATAGAACTGTTTGGTAGAAACACAACTCGTCGTGTTTGGAGGAGAGAGAATGCTGAGTTGCATCCAAAGAACACCATACCTACTGTGAAGCATGGGGGTGGCAACATCATGCTTTGGGTCTGTTTCTCCGCAAAGGGACCAGGACGACTGATCCATGTACAGGACAGAATGAATGGGGCCATGTATCGTGAGATTTTGAGTGCAAACCTCCTTCCATCAGCAAGGGCATTGAAGATGAAACATGGCTGGGTCTTCCAACATGACAATGATCCCAAACATAGCGCCCGGGCAACGAAGGAATGGCTTCGTAAGAAGCATTTCAAGGTCCTGGAGTGGCCTAGCCAGTCTCCAGATCTCAACCCCATAGAAAACCTTTGGAGGGAGTTGAAAGTCCGTGTTGCCCAGCGACAGCCCCAAAACATCACTGCTCTAGAGGAGATCTGCATGGAGGAATGGGCCAACATACCAGCAACAGTGTGTGCCAACCTTGAGAAGACTTACAGGAATTGTTTGACCTCTGTCATTGCCAACAAAGGATATATAACAAAGTATTGAGATGAATTTTTGATATTGACCAAATACTTATTTTCCACCATAATTTGCAAATAAATTCTTTCCAAATCAGCCAATGTGATTGTCTGGATTTTTTTCTCATTTTTTCTCTCATAGTTGAGGTCTCCCTATGATGCCAATTACAGGCCTCTCTCATCTTTTTAAGTGGGAGAACTTGCACAATTGGTGGCTGACTAAATACTTTTTTGCCCCACTGTATATATAAATATATAAAAGTTCCAGTATATATACACCACCATTTGTAGACCTTATAACGGTCACGTAAACCAATTACTATACACTTATTGGAATTTTGTTTAGCAAAAGACATGTAGCAGAATACATTTTGAAGGAAACAAAACCTAAATTTCTGAAGAAATTTGATTTTAAAATCTTTTTTATTGGATATGTTTTGGAGTAAAAAGTCAAAAATATTGTTTTGTTTTTTTTCAAAATTGTCGGTCTTTTTTCGTTTATAGCGCAAATAATTAAGAACGCAGAGGTTATCAATTACCACCAACAGAAAGCTCTATTTGTTGGAAAAAATGACATAATTTTAATTGAAGTACAGCGTTGCCAGACCGCGCAATTGTCAGTTAAAGTAACGTAGTGTCGTATCACAAAAAATGGCCTGGACAGGAAGGAAGGGGGGGGGGGGCGGTAAATCCTCTGGAGGACAAGTGGTTAAACACTGTCCATGAGTTTTTGATGCAGAATACAAATGCACTGGACTGCATCTGGTGTGAACCAGAATGGCACCACAATGCATCTTACAGAGCGCTATGCGTTACAGCAACAATGATTGAAATGGAATGGTCCAGCTCTTTCCCTCATTATACCTCCTGAAATGAGGGAATATGCGGCTAGAAGAGCAGGTGTCAATCTTTTGTATACTGACTCTAGAGAGGGTCATCTGTGGTTCCGTCATGGCAGGAAAAGCCCAGGTAGGGACATTAGTCAGTATGTTGCTGTAAGCTCCAGTGAGCCTATACTATAGATAATTGATGTAGCAATAGTTTAATGAATACCACTTGTAGAATCATTTTAGTTTTCCCGCAACTTGATGACACTTGACCATAATTTTATATAAGGTCTATATTGTCTTTTGTCAGAGGCTGACATCTTGTTTTACACTTCCTTGCATCCCATCATAACATGAAGAATTCACTGAAATATCAGCAAGGTTAATAAGTTTACACTTCAATCAGCTTGTTAAACAGTTACATGAAAACTGCTGAACTTTACACCTGATGGTTTTCTTATTAAGTGATAATTATACATATAGCAATGCTGCTAGTACTGCTTAATGGCGTCAAGTTCTTGCGAGGAGCCTTTAAAAATGATAAAGAACATTCCCTGATTTATGATGATTAACTTTTTATGAATGACACAGATGGACTTGAGTTGGGTAAATCAAAGGTCACTGCAATTCCTGGAAACCGTCTTCTGACTTTTCATTAATTTCTGGGTTTTGAAGAGACTGATAAGAAGTTGGAACCTCTGTCAGGGTTGTAATGTTGCCTATGTCCTCAAAGGGTGATATGCTCCCATTTTGTCTGATGGCCATTAGGACTGGGGCAGAAAGTAAAAGAAGAAAAAAAATTGAGTTGTCACCCAAACAGAAACAGAGTAGTAATCTAACTTTGTTCTGGAAACCCAGATGGCAAAAAAAAGCTTGATAGGAGACTTCAGGAGGCATCAAAATGGAAAATATATCACATACTTACCGTACTTTTCCTTTCTTGGTGCCAATCCATGGCAATAAACCAGTATGCTGCCATGTTGGCACCAGGAAAATGAAAAATTGGTGCCAGTCCATGACGGCATGCTGATTTCTACTACATATATGCTGCCATGTGGATGCAAGGAAAATATTTTCAAAAATTTTGGCTTTAGATCAACTTTAATCCAATGGGCACAAGGAGCAATACAAAGCAAAGGCTCTAGGACTTTATCCTTCCTAAAGCTGAAAAAGGGTTTAAGATGCTCAGATCTGCTCGCAGTTGAGTTTCCAATTCAACAAAGTAATTGCAGGGAAAAATCCAACGTGCCACTATTGTGAAACACAACTAACTTATTCCACTTGTTAGTGGTTTTCCAGCAACTGAATAAATCTGTTTTAATAGGATATTATCACTTTCTGGCTGGAGAAAGGTGTTGATGGGTTTACAATTGATGCTGCCAAGTTCCTTCTTGAAGCTGAGCACCTCCGGGATGAGCCCCAGGTCAATAAATTTCAAGAGTCGGTAAGTGCTTGCATGTTTTCCATATGTATTGTAAATGATCCCATAAAAATGGTTAGCTGTTGAAGGTTTGTTGGGGAAAATGAAGTAGAAATGCTTGTCTCCTATACAGTATATGAATGTATAGATGGCACAATTCGCACTGTGGGCACTTAAAAGACTTCCAGTAGAGGATAGGGAAGACAAATTGGTTGCTTTTATTACACCGATGTTTTAGTGAGTCACTGCTGCCGTTTATGAAGAATAGCTATATATCACGTAAACTCAGCAGTTCAGTATAACCCCAACAAAACATTACAGATATAACTTAAAGTTTTACTAAACCCCAGGACCCGGCATTCACTATATCTGGTCTCCCTGGACCCTGCATTCACTATATCTGATCTCCCAGGACCCGTCATTCACTATATCTGGTCTCCCAGTACCCGGCATTCACTATATCTGGTCTCCCTGGACCCTGCATTCACTATATCTGGTCTCCCAGTACCCGGCATTCACTATATCTGGTCTCCCAGGACCCTGCATTCACTATATCTGGTCTCTCTGGACCCTGCATTCACTATTTCTGATCTCCCAGGACCCGGCATTCACTATATCTGGTCTCCCAGGACCCGGCATTCACTATATCTGGTCTCCCAGGACCCGGCATTCACTATATCTGGTCTCCCAGTACCCGGCATTCACTATATCTGGTCTCCCAGGACCCTGTATTCACTATATCTGATCTCCCAGGACCCTGCATTCACTATATCTGGTCTCCCAGGACCCGGCATTCACTATATCTGGTCTCCCAGAACCCTGCATTCACTATATCTGGTCTCCCCGGACCCTGCATTCACTATATCTGGTTTTCCCGGACCCTGCATTCACTATATCTGGTCTCCCGGACCCGGCATTCACTATATCTGATCTCCCAGGACCCTGCATTCACTATATCTGGTCTCCCAGGACCCTGCATTCACTATATCTGGTCTCCCAGGACCCTGCATTCACTATATCTGGTCTCCCAGGACCCTGCATTCACTATATCTGGTCCCCCACAGTACACAGAACATAGAAATGCAATTATTTTAGTAAATATAAACTGCTAAATGCCTTTTCTCATCAGCAGTTAGAGCAGTCTTGTGACTGCTAGCAGTGTCTGGCCAAGCACTGGTTAATCTTGTAGGAGGAGTTTTCATTCTCCTCTGACTGTCAAATGAGACTGCATGACCCCTGACCCTCTGTCTGGACAGCGCTGATTGGCCATGTGCTAATCACATACACTCTCCTAAAAAAAAAAAAAAACTCTCACAATACACACCAAACAGAGCATGTGCAGACTTGCCACTGCTGCTCTAACAGGATCAAATAGCTTTTTTACACAATGCGGAGGATTAACCCCTTAGGTTCCACAGTGAGTATAACAAGCATACTTTACTGCATATACAGACTGATTTCACTGTTGTGGGTATAGAATCACTTTCAATTTGAATTCAAGAAAAATAGCTCAATGTACGGCCTATCTAATGGATATATAAAGGTTTTACTAGTTTTGTTAGTCATAACTGAGCTGGTATGAATCAAGTAAAAAAAACTCTCTTCCCAAGGTGTAGTAAACAGCTTCCCCTGCTTTACTCTAACTCTAGGTTCACACCTATGCAGGTTGCGTTTGATGTGTTTCTGCATTGTGTTGTGTTTAATGTTTTTGCACTTGCGTTTTTGCTGTGGTTTTTTATGCATTTTGCATTTTTTTTCACATTTAATTTATTTTTCTTGTTGCTAGGCAGATTTTAAATGCAAAACGCAGCAAAAATTCAATACATACTTTTCTGCAGCGTTCCCATTGAAGTCTATAGAATCAAAAAAAACATGTTTTGTGTTAAAAAAAAAAGTACCTGACCCTTTCCAAAAAAGCACCAGGTGAAAACGCAGAGATGTGATGTGAACCTGTCCCATAGGAAATCATGTTAAATGGACTGTACTGCGTTTCTGCAAAACGCTGCAGAAAATGATTAGGTTTGAACCTAGAGTAAGGCCTATTTCACACAGGCAGCCAGGGGGTGGTAACCGCACATTAGCCCCATATTAACCGCTTCTGACTGCCCTATAACAGAACTACTGCTACAGGGCGGTAGAAAATCACGTGTATATATACGTGATTTTGCATTTATGGGAAAGGGGCATGCGCTGCCCTACCAGCGCTGCCATTGGTGGCTACAGATGTCGATCACCGGGTCCCGGCTGGAGATTCCCCCTGGCACCTGCCGATTACTGAGTATCACTGACAAAGGAGAGACCTGTGTGTAAACAACACAGATCTCTCTCCTTCCAGCAGTAACATGCTGCTGTGTACTTCTCCGCAATGCACAGCAGAGAAATACACAGCAGCATGTCTCTGTAGTAAATCACACAGTAAAACAGCACACAGTTAACCCTTTGATTGCCCCAGATGTTAACCCCTTCCTGCCCATTGTCCTTAGTACAGTGTCAGTGCTTTTTATTAGCACTGATCACTGTATTAATGTCACTGGGGATGTCAATGGCTGCAGTCCCGCTATTAGTCGCTGATCGCCGCGATTACTAGTATAAAAAGAAAAAAAAATTCCAGTATATATACTGCCATTTGTAAACGCTATAACTTTCACGTAAACCAATTAATTTACACGTATTGGGATTTTTGTTTTTAACAAAGACATGTCGCGGAATACATTTTGGCCTAAATTTATGAAGAAATGTGATTTTTAAAAATTTTTTTACTGGATATGTTTTATAGCAAAATGTCAAAAATATTTTTTTTCTCAAAATTGTTTATAGCACAAAAAATAAAAAAACACAGAGGTGATCAAATAACAAAGAAAGAAAGCTCTATTTGTGGGAAACAAATGGACATAAATTTAATTTATGTACAGCATTGCATGACCGAATAATTGTCAGTTAAAATAACTCAGCGCCATATTGCAAAAAATGGCCTGGTCAGGAAGGAAGGGAAATCCTCTGGAGGGCAAGTGGTTAAACTGCCATGCTGCAAAAAATACAAACAAAAAAACACGCATTTAGGAGGCCGCAGGATTGCCTCCTGAAAGCCTGACAACTGCTGCTTACTTGACCTTTGAAAAAGTGGTCCACCATGGATCACTTTCAAAATTCCCATGACTTTCTCTCCTTTCCTTGCAGTGCTGATAGTCAGCTCTGTCCATGCGGAGCCGGAGATCCTGTCATGCAGGGAGGTTCCTCGCACCACTCCAGTGTGAACTCAGGCTCAAAGTCACTATGACAAGTCTGGGTTCACACAGGAGCTGTGCAGGAAACCGCATCTTATTATACCTGCAAAGGTATCGGTACTCGGCAGTGATGAGTACTTAACCGAAAGTATCGGAACTCATACTTGCTGGCAAAAAAAAACCATTATTTGTGCAACCCCACTAAATAATATACACTGATTTGGGTTATTCTTACCAAAGAACTTATTATTATTATACAGTGTTTATATAGCGCCAACAGTTCGCTCAGCGCTGTACATTACAATAGGAGACAATACACGAGACAGTACAATAACAATACAATGCGATACACGAGGGGTTCGAGGGCCCTGCTCCTTGGAGCTTACAATCTAGGAGGGAGGGGATAGTGGTACAGGAGGAATAGCTGTGGGGGATGGAGTGGTAGGAAGAGTGGAAGAGATCAGCAATTAGCAGAGGGCGGGGTAGGCTTCCTTGAAGAGATGGGTTTTCAGGGTGCGCCTAAAGGAGAGGAGAGTAGGTGATAGTCTGATGGATTGGGGTAGGGAGCTCCAGAGGATGGGTGAAGCCCCGGAGAAGTCCTGTAGGTGGGCATGGGAGGAGGAGACCAGGGAACTAGAGAGAAGGAGGTCTTGTGAGGAGCGGAGAGTACGTTTTAGGTGGTATTTGGATATCAGGTCGGTGATGTAGTTTGGGGCAGTGTTATGGACAGCTTTAAGAAATGTAGCAGTATACATTTTGGCCTAAATTTATGAAGAAGGATTCTAAAATTTTGCAAAGAAAGCTAAGAAAAACCTGCTTTTAAAAACCTTTATTTTTTGCTATATAAATGAAAAAATTCCAAAAATTCAGCGGTGACTAAATACCACCAAAAGAAAACTCTGTCTAAAAAAATGATAAAAATGTAATTTGGGTTCATTTGGGTACAGTGCTGCATGACTGAGTAGATGTCATTGAAAGTGTGATAACACTGAAAGCTGAAAATCGGCCTGGACTGGAAGGGGGTGAAAGAGTTCGGTGCTGAAGTGGTTAAATCTGCTCTGGTATTTAGATACTTGATATTTGCAGATTAATGCAGGCTATACATGGGTCAAATTCCCAACAAATTTTCTTTAGAAAATCGAGATTTTCGTGCATTTTTAATCCAATGGTGCTACTATTGATTTTGAAATGTGACCAACCAAGCCTTTTATTTCACCTCGTGGCTACAGAAAAGAATTTTCGTGGTCAAGAACTTCTTTTCTTCCCAGGTCACAGCTCATGTTCATTTCTTTTTCGATTACATTTCTCGCATGATTCTCCCATCATTGATTAGAAATTTGGTTGTTTTTCAAAAAATTTCCAACATTCCCGAACACTCAAATTCGATGGTCGCTTGAAAATTGGCTGATTCTATGGCCCACTAATGGTGCGAAACTCCAATGAAAATTCTTAGAAAAGAAAGAAAATTATTTTGGAATACGACCCGTGTATGGCCGGCTTCACTTTCCTGATATTGTCTTTTCAGAATTCAGTCACCTCTTACTCAGACCTCTACCACGACTATACTACAACACAAGTTGGGATGCATGACACCTTCCGTGACTTCCGCCAGGCCATGAATAAATTCAGCCGAGAGCCTGGCCGCTACAGGTAGGGTTGGTTGACTCTGGATTTGTCTCACAATCACTCGTAGCAACCTCTCAGTTATCTGTGTTTTTTAATCTGGGGCACCCAATTAACATCCAACTAGATTCTTGAAGAACCAAGAACAAGGAGGACCTTTCTAGGACCAAAAGCCCTGCGCGTTTTTTAGCCAGTTTCTCATTATCCGTGAAACTATGACTTGTTGGTATGGTCCTGCATTGTATGTGAGGATTTGGGGGCCCACCCACATCCCAGGAGAGAGCAGAGAAAAAGCACATGGGGAACCCCTAGACAAGCATTTCGCCCATGCAGAGTATGGAGGGTGCATGGTTAAATTTTACACACCAGGCCAGGTATTTTTCAGAAAAAAAGAAAACCCACCACCCCAAAGGCTCCCACACAGAGTGAGAACAGACCCCTCACCTTTTTTTGGTATAATGGGCAATTTTCCTGATAGTTTGTTGATGTGGTTTCACCTACAGGTTTATGGGAGCAGAATCCAATGATCAGAACGCGGTGGCAAAAACAATGATGTATTATGGAACTTCCTTCATCGAAGAAGCCGACTTTCCTCTCAACTTCTACCTGCATGACCTGAGCAAAGATATCTCTGGGAGCTTAATAAATAATATAGTGGATCTATGGATGAAGTCTATGCCTAAAGGAAAGTGGCCACACTGGATGGTAAGGCCATAAAAATTCTGTAAAATATCATAAATCTCTACTAAACGTTTTTATAACAGCAATCTGAACAGGTACTAAGATTGCTAAGCAAGCAGTAAATAGCAATATAGATAAGATGGTAAGAACATACCTATATACCATAATTATCCTTAGGGCAGCAGGACACGTGATTAAAGGACCATTCTTGTTTGTACAGTGGAAAATTCTGAAACACTTGGAAAGTCCTTGAGTGATAAAAACGAATACAGCTAGGCCAAGACTGTGATTGGATAGGGAAAGAGAAGTAAAAACAAGCCATAGATAGATTTAATCTCATCCAGTCCATGCTAAACCAGCCAAGAATTAATCCATCTATGGGCAGGCTGTACCCTAATCAATCCATTGATCAGCTTGGGTACAACCAGCCTGTCGGAATTTTTTATACAGTTGTGGCCAAAATTATTCAACCCCCAATGCTGTAAAGGGGTTTAGGGACTATAGTGTACATTTGGAATTGTATTCAGAATCAAATCCTACAAGGACGTTGTAACTACCCAAATGCAACTAAAATGACATCAATTGTTTATGTAATACAGTAGTAAATGGTTCTTATGTGGTTTCTTCATTGCCACAATTATTCAACCCCTTAAAGACTACCACTCTGAAGAACAGAGGTTCATACAGGTGCTTTCCATCAGGTATTGAAAACACCTGTGGATGTCACCGAGCAGCAATCAAGCATAATAAGCACCAATTAGGCAGCTTTAAAATGACTGTGATACTCAGCTCCTTCTAGACATTTACTGGTGTGGTTACAAACATGGTGAAGGCAAGAGAATGGTCCAGGAAGACAAGAGAAGAGGTGATTTCTCTTCACAGGAAGGCAATGGCTATAAGAAGATTGCAAAGATGTTAAACATACCAAGAGACACCTTAGGAAGCATCATTCGCAAAATTCAAGGCAAAGGGCACTGTTGAAACGCTACCTGGTCGTGGCAGAAAGAAGATGCTGACTTCGACTGCTGTGCGCTACCTGAAGCGTAGAGTGGAGAGAAGTCCCCGTGTGACTGCTGAGGAACTGAGAAAAGATTTGTCAGATGTGGGTACAGAAGTTTCAGCCCAGACAATAAGACGCACACTGCGTAATGAAGGCCTCCGTGCCAGAACTCCCAGGCGTACCCCCTTGCTGTCTCCAAAGAATAAGAAGAGTCGACTGCAGTATGCCAAAAGCCATGTGGACAAACCACAAAAGTTGTGGGATAGTGTTCTGTGGACTGATGAAACAAAATTAGAACTGTTTGGGCCCATGGATCAACGCTATGTTTGGAGGAGGAAGAACAAGGCCTATGATGAAAAGAACACCTTGCCTACTGTGAAGCATGGTGGAGGGTCAATCATGCTTTGGGGCTGTTTTGCTTCTGCAGGTACAGGGAAGCTTCAGCGTGTGCAAGGTACCATGAATTCTCTTCAGTACCAGGAGATATTGGATGGAAACGTGATGCAGTCCGTCACACACCTGAGGCTTGGGAGACGTTGGACCTTTCAACAGGACAATGATCCCAAGCATACCTCCAAGTCCACTAGAGCATGGTTGCAGAGGAAAGGCTGGAACATTTTGGAGTGGCCATCGCAGTCACCAGACTTAAATCCGATTGAGAACCTCTGGTGGGACTTAAAGAAAGCAGTTGCAGTGCGCAAGCCTAAGAATGTGACTGAACTGGAGGCCTTTGCCCATGAAGAATGGGCGAAGATACCCGTAGATCGCTGCAAGACACTTGTGTCAAGCTATGCTTCACGTTTAAAAGCTGTTATAACTGTAAAAGGATGCTGTACTAAGTACTAAGATTGAATGTCACTTGGGGGTTGAATAAAACTGATAATGCTGTGAGCACAGAAAAGACATTTGTGGTTATTTCATTATAACTGTTATGTTATATTTGTCTGACCTACAAGTGCCTCTTTAATGTAAATGTAAGCAAGATGACTGAATGATCAAAAGCAATGTCAAACTGGCCAAAACACTCAATTTCAGTGGGGGTTGAATAATTTTGGCCACAACTGTATGTGATTACTGCCGGTGGCTATAACCGCTAGCTAGCTCTAGTCATTGTGTTCTGCCCACAGAATATCGGTGTGGGAGGGATTCTGAATTGAGCAATTTTCATTCCTTCCACCCGTGGAAGGTCTCAACAATACTAACCTCATTTTTCTCAGTTTTAAAAGTTAATTCCCCATATAGGACAGTATTAGGTTATAGAAATGTAAGTACTAAGTGGACAGATGTTAATTGTTTCATTCAGACTTGAAATTTGGACAAGGTATTCGTTATTCGTAGGTATCCGAAATACAATAGTAACGATTTTAAACGAATCCAAAGTAATGAAACGAAATTTTATCTGGAATTCAAATTAAATTGAATTTGAAAACAAATTCAAAATATAAACATATTGCTGACTATTGCCGATTTCCTTCAAAGACTGTGTATTAGTGGTAGAATATAGCTGTCTTCCAAAGTTTGAATTTCGAATAAAATAGAAAAGAACAGAATAGAAAATAAAGGAATGGAATATCACTATCTTCCGAAATGTGAACTTCGAATAGAATAGAACCAGCTATTTCTAAAAAAAATGTTTTAAATCCTAATTAGATCTTTATTTATTTCAGGTACTTATATAGCGCCGTCAATTTACGCAGCACTTTACATATATATTGTACATTCACATCAGTCCCTAACCCTCAAGGGGCGTACAATCTAAGGTTCGTAACTCACATTCATACAATTTAGACAGGAGCCAATTAACCTACCAGCATGTCTTTGGAGTGTGGGAGGAAACCCACGCAGGCACAGGGAGAACATGCAAACTCCAGGCAGGTGGTGCCATGGTTGGGATTCGAACCAGCGACCCTAGTGCTGCCAGGCGGAAGTTCTAACCATTTAGACACTGTGCTGTCAGAGCCAGCTATTCTTCACAATGAATTCGGATCAATTTGATATTTTTGATTCGGATTCAATCTGAATACTTCGAATCCATTGGAAAAATTTTAATCCAGTCGAAAATGAAACTAATTTCGTTATGAATTCAACAGAACGAAATTAGAAACTTAACAAATCGAATCACATTTTTTCGTTCTGCACATGTCTAGTACTAGTATTTAAAAATATTGTACTTTACCATAAGTGACAGTTCAGTTTGCATAAGTGTTGTGGGATGTACAGGTGTGATCGAGTCTGATTCCATGTTCTCCATAAATCACAGGTTGGAAGCTCCAGAAATTCTCGCATTGCATCTCGGGTGGGGAAAGACTACGTAAATGTGCTTAACATGCTGCTACTGACTCTGCCTGGCACTCCAACAACTTACTATGGAGAAGAACTGGGGAATGGTTGATAACCAAGCACTCAATGAAAACTCCTACCTGTCTGGTGAATATGATCCTGTAAGTAATCATATACTATCACATAATCATAGGTCTGAGAGGAGCCAGATTCACTCCTGGGCACATATTGGGGGTAAAGCACATTCCTTACCTCTGCTGTGGGTTCTGATGTCCCATGGCAACCAGCACAAAATGCAGGATGTCATCAAAGGCAAATACGTATTAAAAAAGTTCCCCAGTAAATTAAAGTGTTACTAAACCCAGGACCCTGAATGCACTATATATCTGGTCTCCCAGGACCCTGAATTCACTATATCTGGTTTCCCACAGTACACAGAACGTGAAAATGTAATTATTTTCAGTATAAAAAAAAAAATGCTAAATACCTTTTCTCATCAGCAGTAAGAGCAGTCTTGTGACTTCTATCAGTGTACAGCAGAGCACTACTTAAAGCTTGTAGTAGGAGTTTTTTCATTTTCCCCTAATTGTCCTATGAGGCTGCATGACCCCTGACCCTCTGTCTGGACAGTGCTGATTGGCCCTGTGCTGTTCACATGCACTTTCCCAAGAACAAAACAAAATATCTAGCAATACACACCAAACTGAACATGGGCAGCTTGCCCCCAAGGCTCTGTTCTATCAGCATATGAATTGGAAACAGTAAAAAAAGGGGAGGATCAGAGAAGATAGGATAAAATTCCTTTTTACACAGTGCGGAGCATTAACCCCTTAGGTTCCACAGTGAGTATACAAAGCATGCTTTACTGCATATACAGACTGATTTTACTGTTGTGGGTTTAGTAACACTTTTTTTCTGACACCCTAAAAATGGTGTTTGCTGCATGTCACAATACATGTTGAATCTACAGACTAAAATGATATGCTTCTGCAATTGTGGTCCTCTTGATAGGTGTTAAAAAGGGGCTCTAACAGCCCCCTCCCAGACACAAGGAGATTGTACAGTGAAGGAAATAAGTATTTGATCCCCTGCTGATTTTGAATGTTTTGCCCACTCACAAAGAAATGATCAGTCTACAAATCGAATGGTAGGTGTATTGTAACACCGAGAGACAGAATAGCAACAAAAAATTCAAAACAAATGCATGCCTAACAAATTATGCACTGATTTGCATGTTCATGAGGGAAATAAGTATTTGATCCCCTTCACAAAACATGACTTAGTACTTGGTGGCAAATCCCTTGTTGGCAATCACAGAGGTCAGACGTTTCCTGTAGTTGGCCACCAGGTTTGCACACATCTCAGGAGGGATTTTGGCCCTCTCCTCTTGGCAGATCCTCTCCAAGTCATTAAGGTTTGGTGACTGACATTTGGCAACTCGAACTTTCAGCTCCCTTCACTCCAGGACCTTAATGTGCTTCTTTTTGAGCCACTCCTTTGTTGCCTTGGCCGTGTGTTTTGGGTCATTGTCATGCTGGAACACCCATCCACAACCCATTTTTAATGCCCTGGCTGAGGGAAGAAGGTTCTCACCCAAGATTTGACGACATTGCCCCGTCCATCGTCCCTTTGATGCGCAGTTGTCCTGTCTCCTTAGCCGAAAAACCCCCCAAAGCAGAATGTTTCCACCACCATGTTTGACAGTTGGGATGGTGTTCTTGGGGTCATAGGCAGTATTCCTCCTCCTCCAAACACTGTGAGTTGAGTTGATACCAAAAAGCTCGATTTTGGTCTCATCTGACCACAACACTTTCAACCAGTCCTCCTCTGCATCATTCAGATGTTCAGTGGCAAACGTCAGACATGTGCTTTCTTGAGCAGAGGGACCTTGTGCGCACTGCAGGATTTCAGTCCTTGTCGGCGTAATGTGTTACCATTTGTTTTCTTGGTGACTGTGGTCCCAGCTGCCTGGAAATCATTGACAAGATCCTCACGTGTAGTTCTGAGATGATTCCTTACTGTTCTCATGATCATTGACACTCCATGAGGTGAGATCTTCCATGGTGCACCAGACCTAGGGAGACTGACAGTTGTTTTGTGTTTCTTCCATTTGCGAATGATTGCACCAACTGTTGTCACCTTCTCACCAAGCTGCTTGTTGGTAGTTTGGTAGCCCAGTCCAGCCTTGTGTAGGTCTACAATCTTGTCCCTGACATCCTTGGACAGCTCTTTGGTCTTTGCCATGGTGGAGAGATTGGAATCTGATTGCTCTTGTGGACAGGTGTCTTTTATACAGGTAACAAAATGAGATTGGCAGCACTCCCTTTAAGAGACTTCTAATCTCAGCTTGGTACCTGTATGAAAGACACCTGGTAGCCATAAATCCTGCTGAATGATAGGGGATCAAATACTTATTTCCCTCATGAACATGCAAATCAGTGCATAATTTGTTAGACATGCATTTCTTTTGAATTTTTTTTTGCTATTCTGTCTCTCAGTGTTACAATACGCCTAGCATTCGATTTTTAGACTGATCATTTTTTTGTGAGTGGGCAAACATTCAAAATCAGCAGGGGATCAAATATTTATTTCCTTCACTGTAATGTAATGTGCTCCCCTTGTCAGAATAGGTTTCTTCACACAATCCAAAAAAACAACTGGTATCCACCAAAGTATCCTCCATTTAGGGCCATCTGATTGCAAGCTCTTCGCCAGGCTGGAGATGTTAATGCTTCTACGCTTCTTTATGAAGAGCTACATTCGTGTCCATGCTAAATGAGTAATAAAAAGTGTCTGAAAATGGCAAAGTTATATTATGGACAGCAGACTGGTGTTAACACTGATGTTTGGTTTTCCCTCCACAGTTAGTTACACTTTGATTCAGAAGCACAAATAAATCCATTTCTATCTGCTCATTTACAAAGCAGTGTAATATTTTGAGTAGGATTGACAAAGCAGCAAAATTACATGAATGAGCTAATATTGCTTCATTTTTCTTTTTGATTACCTCATTGTGGTTTTGCAGTCTGAATACCCAGAGAAGACTCCGATGCAGTGGGACACAAGCTCAAATGCTGGCTTTAATGATGGCAATACAACATGGCTGCCGGTCAACCAGGATTATAAAGAGCTCAATGTTGAAGTAAGCACTTTTTTCTTTCCTTCAATGTTTTTACAGATTTGTTTCTGAGCCAGATACTGCCCTTTACTCCATTTAGAAAGCTTCAGCCATTGCGTAAAAAAAGATACTGCCAAGCGATTAGTAAGGCTTGGTTCCCACTTCTGCGACCCCATTGTCATGTGATTTCCAGTGTGCGACTTTAATATGACATTAGAGTTCATGGGACTCAAGTCACATTAAAGTCAAATCAAAGTAGTGCAGGATCCTTTTTGAAGTTGCTGTGACTTGAGAAGAATTGAACATTGGAACAGCTGAAATGTAATTTAATGTGTTTAGACTTGTCATGTGACAACAGGCAGGGCTTATTTTTGTCTGAGAACAGTGCCGAAATTCAACCCCCTCTTGCCACTCAGAAGCAAAAGTAGCAATGTGGCCATGTCAAATGGTGGGTGTGACCAAAAATCACTAACAATAGGAGGGTCTTAAAGGTGCATGAATTTAAAAAAAAAACCCACAGGATTATGCTGTGCACGGTAAGCAGGGTTCAGGAGTGCACTACACACAGAGTGCAGGGTTCAGGAGTGCTCTACGCACTAGGATCAGGAGTGATCTACACACAGAGTGCAGGGTTCAGGAGTGCTCTACGCACTACGATCAGGAGTGATCTACACATAGAGTGTGTAGGGTTCAGGAGTGCTCTGCGCTCAGGGTGCAGGACTGCTCTACTCTACACAGAGTGTGCAGGGTTCAGGAGTGCTCTGCGCTCAGGGTGCAGGACTGCTCTACACAGAGTGTGTAGGGTTCAGGAGTGCTCTGCGCTCAGGGTTCAGGAGTGATCTACACAGAGTGTGTAGGGTTCAGGAGTGCTCTGTGCTCAGGGTGCAGGTCTGCTCTACATAGAGTGTGCAGGGTTCAGGAGTGCTCTACACACACAGAGTTTGTAGGGTTCAGGAGTGATCTACTCTATAGAGTGTGCAGGGTTCAGGAGTGCTCTACACAGAGTTTGTAGGGTTCAGGAGTGCTCTGTGCTCAGGGTGAAGGAGTTCTCTACACAGAGTGTGCAGGGTTCGGGAGTGCTCTGTGCTCAGGGTGCAGGACTGCTCTACATAGAGTGTGCAGGGTTCAGGAGTGCTCTGTGCTCAGGGTGCAGGAGCGCTGTACACAGAGTGTGCAGGGTTCAGGAGTGCTCTGCGCTCAGGGTGTAGGAGTGCTCTATACAGAGTGTGTGGGGTTCAGCAGTGCTCTACGCACTAGGTGCAGGAGTGCTGTGCACAGAGTGTGCAGGGTTCAGGTGTGCTCTGTGTTCAGGGTGCAGGAGTGCTCTACCCAGAGTGTGCAGGATTCAGGAGTGCTCTGGGTGCAGGACTGCTCTACATAGAGTGTGCAGGGTTCAGGAGTGCTCTGTGCTCAGGGTGCAGGAGTGCTGTACGCAGAGTGTGCAGGGTGCAGGAGTGCTCTGTGCTCAGGCTGCAGGAGTGCTCTACGCAGAGTGTGCAGGGTATAGGAGTGCTCTGTGCTCAGGGTGCAGGGAGTGCTCTACGCAGAGTGTGCAGAGAGTGTGCAGGGTAGGAGTGCTCTGTGCTCAGGCTGCAGGAGTGTTCTACACAGTGTGCGGGGGGTTCAGGAGTGCTCTACGCACAGGGTGCAGGGTTCAGTGCACTATGCACAGGGTGCATGGGTTTGGGGTGTAAGGGCCGCTGCACATCAGAACAAGCCCTAAAGTTTCAATAATGCTTGCTGAAGCTTTAAAAGTGATTTCTAAAAGCTCACTGTACACACTACTCCTATATAAACTGAAGCCCACGTGTACAAGATCTTAAAGAGCTTTAACTTGTTGCAGATGGCCATATGCATATATACAGCAAAACCCAGCTGGTGCACATAGTTGTTTTTGGTGAGCCATCATTCTGTGCTGAGAGCACATTCAGTGCATGCTCCTAGCACAGGAACCGATCTCTCATGGACAACTCCTGATCATGTGACCATCATAACAGCCAATCAACAGTCAAATGATTGTGAAGCCTGTCTCCTGGTGTTGAGACCCTCTTAAATAGCCCGAGGGCAGCAGTGGCAAGGGCAAGCCCAAAACGTTTGCTTACTTTGTTTTCTTTGTATGTTTGTACTTCTAAATAGGGGATTTTTCTTGAGGACCATTGATTACCTTTCCAAAATATAAAAACTGTACCTACCAGCCAGCATTGATCATCTGTTCTTCTGATAACTTCAGTTGGTTTCTGAGCAGTAAATTTGATGAGATTCATGAAACAACATGATGTACAACGCATTAGGCATCATCAGAGTGGGCTTCCAAAGGCTATGCACAAAAAATGATCAATACCAAGTTTCTAATACTATGATATGTATGTTTTGTAGGTACAGAAGGAGCAGGCGGATTCCACCCTAAACCTGTATCGGGACTTAGTGAAGCTCCGGCAGGGCGAGCTGCCTCTTCACAGGGGATGGTTGTGTTATGCGTTTTCAGACGCCAATATCTTTGCCTATGTGAGAGAAAAATGATGGTTTAGATAAGGTCTTTATGGTGGTGCTAAACTTTGGCCAAACAGCAACCGTGAATATTAGACAGAAAATCACAGATTTTCCTACACAAGCAAAGATCAGGTTAAGCACGATATCTGCCAACAATGGGAAAAATGTCGACACGGACACTATCCGCACAGAGCGTGGAGAAGGAATTCTATTGGAGTACAAGACCAACAAACCTCTGCACAACAACAACGATTTCAAAAGCAACTGCTTCATATCAGAAAAGGCTTGTTATTCCAGCGCCTTCAATTTACTGTATAAGAATTGCTGAGGAGCAGAAAGATGTATCACTATATTAGACGGTATCACTGCAAGCTTGTGGAAAATTATGCTGAAAAGTTCTAAATACAGCTTTTGTAATGCCATAAAATATCTAAATGTTTTGTCTGGCAGCAAATAAAATATCTTGCTTACACTCAAATGGTTCATATCTTCTTCCAACACGTGTCTATACCTAGGAGTTGATTTACTAAAACTGGAGAGTGCAAAATCTGGTGCAGCTCTGCATAGAAACCAATCAGCTTCCAGTTTTTTGGTCAAAGTTTATTCGAACAAGCTGAAGTTAGAAGCTGATTTTCTACCAGGCACAATTGCACCAGATTCTGCAACACTACCCCTAGGTTTTCTTTTGAACCCATGTTACTTTTTTCCCTACTCTAGTAGCAAAGCGCCTCTTGTATTGAAACTGATTACTCTCAATTCCCTGCAAACCTGCATCTCCACAATATAACTCTTAGAATCTGCAGCAGGTATCTTGAACCTGCTTTCATCAACCCTCTATCCACCTGATCCCTACTGTCATTTGGCTCTTCTCTCACAACTACTAGCCTTTCTCCACCATTACCAATTGTTGACCTTTGTCTCAAGTTTTCAATGATAGAACACATCCCTGGAATCCCTATAGACATCCATGCTCCTTCCTGCTGATCACTTGGTGGAGTAGACTTTAGGTTTGTGCAATCTGCTGATCAGTTTATTGATTACACTCTGTGAGATGGCATGATCACAATCTAAGAATGCACTTACACTAATGCTAAATCTTCAGCACCAAGTGGCAAGCATGGAGTAATATGTAAGTGCAAAGGGATTCTGAGAATGTGTTCTTTCATATTATGCTTGAGCTATTGAAGTAAGATCTGAGGCAGGATGCTGCTGTCATGTGTACAGGAGCCTTCTGGTCCCTCCCACCATCTTGAGCAAGGACCAGCAGACAGACAAATTTCTGTCTGTTTCCATGTTAGGGAGAGTCACCTTCTCCATTTGTCCTGTTTACTGTTATTAACAGAAGTGAAAGAAAATCCAAAATGTCGAGTTATCCCCAGAACAGTAATAGAGGGGAAAACTTTTAATGTGGACACTAGTTCTATGACAAATGATTCTCTTACATTGTTTTGGCTGTTAGACAGGCTAGACACTCATGGATCTGTCATATGCCTGGGACTGAACTTGGGTCCTCATGTCTTAGGGCTGCGGCTCTGTTCACTCTGCCACTGGTGAACCTGAGTCTTGCAGTATACACCTTGCATAGTACCTCTGCTCCTAGTACTCTCTAGCCCCACCTGTCTTCCAGCTGCAATCAATCCACAATCAGATCAGCTTAAATTGCAGGGCTTCCTATGGACTGTGGCTACTTGCTGGATCTGTGCTGTGGATTCTGGACTTTGACCTCTGCCTGATTCCTGGATTACTCTCTTGGCCTGATGATTGTACCTTACTCTGCCAGTCTGTGTATGACCCTGCCTGCCTCAGAGCACGTTTCTGGATTCTGACTTTGTACCTTGCAGTCAAGATTTGTCTACACTACCACCTCAACCCCCAGCCAAAACTCCACTCTGGACTAAACCTTTTACAATTACCTTACATCAGGGGTCTCCAAACCATGGCCATCCAGCTGTTGAAGTACTACAAGTCCCATCATGCCTCCGGGTGTCTTGCTGGGACTGTCTTGCAAGGCCTCATGGGACTTGCAGTTTCCTCCACACCTGGAGAGCTATAGTTTGGAGACCCTTGCCTTACAGGATCAGTTGTTTCAATCAGCCAGAGGTTTGACTGAAAAAAAAAACAAAACTGATCAGATCCCCCCCATCCACACAACTGAGGTGGATGAAGGAATCCTTCACTTTGTTTTGGCTATGAGAGAGGAAGTGAAGGAAAACCTTCCCAATGGGACACAGAGGGCAAAAGGGGTGTTATAGCCCTCCTTTACTCTATCCAAAATGGAAACAAAAAGTGTTGCCTTTAGCTCTACTTTTATGGAAACTTCCAAACCACAGCCAAGCAGCCTTAAGTGAGAGGAAACAGCCCTCTGAAGAGTTAAACGCGGTTTCATTTATTCCATTTTCGTACGGATTCTGCTATAGACACAAGTACTTTAGCCTTCAAGCCGCATTACTATTTAGTACACTCACCATAGCACAACCAGTCTGGGGGCTGCTGTCGCCTTTATCTACATAAATCAAGAGATTCTACAAGAATGTAAGTCGCAACAAACATTCATGGACGACGACGTCCATTTCTAAGAAAGTTATGAACATCCTAGCCATGGCTAATGAGTTACAAGAGAACAAGGGTACAGAGACAATGAGCGCGCGGGCAACAATGTGGCTGCTCCGAAAGGATACAAGCTGTAACATATTTCATTGTTGTAAATGAAAGTTTTATTAAAAAAATGATACAATGCAAGAACCAGATGTATGGAACTATGTCTCATTCTTTATGGAAGAACCTTCACAGATTACTTCTGGAGAGATTACATTTATTCAGGTTCATCTCTTTGTGTAGAAAGGACAGCTGCATTGATACCTGGAGGAAATAATCAGAAAGTCATCAAATGATAATAGAATAGAAGGGGCCTTGGCTACATTACTAGTGATTGATCTACCCAAGGACCTGTTTAGCAGCCAATACAATAGGTTACCGCTCTCTTATTTACCTTCTGCAATGATTCCTCCCACGGCAAAGAGTCACAATGGCTTCCCAGGGTGAACATCTAGTAATATATTAGGCCTTCTAGAATCTGAAAGAAAATTTTAAAAATCCTTACAAAGATCTCCATGTAACACCGTGGGTTTTGATTTTTACTTAGATGTAAAAGCAGCACACTAGTATTTTCACTTTGGCAGAAAACCCACTTGATGCTAGTAAATACCTCTAAAAATTCTACGTTATTTTGGCAAAATGCATCAAGCACTCCTGAGTGTTAAGTCATTTAATTGGAATAATAATAATAATGTATTAATAAATAAATAAATAAAATTCATAATGTATGACTATTAAACATTTAAATTGGATTTTTTCATAATAAATATATATATCTATATCAATCATATACTAAATTCTGATTTTTGAATGTATTGAAATAAATAAATATTATATATATATTTATTTATTTATAAACATACAAAGGCACACAAGTATACAAAGGCGCAAAAGTATTTGTATTTAAATTCAAGTGCAGTCATACCTTTATTATTTTATGTAAGTTCATCTCTATAAAAAAAATTAATGCACACCTTGTAGGTAAAAAAAAAACAAAGAAGAATCTTAGAAACCAGAAGGGTGAATGAATAAAACAGAACAGAACAGAGAATATAAAGTCTTTGCCAAGGTGCAAAATGCAATCTTGAGGCTAAAAAAAACAACAACCCCCCCCCCCCCCCCAAAAAAAAAAAAAAAAACCACACAAAAAAAAAAAATCAGTTAACCCTTTAAAGTACCTGGCAGATCAGAACTTTGGAGGTATTGCTCTGCAGCCATTCTAAGTTTCTTTACATATCTCAGTAATCCGCTTAGGGGGACACGCTGATCATTTTCATAGGCTGTGATTAGAACTGAAGGATAACTCTGAAAATAAATAAGAATTACATGTTAAACTGAACATTATTTTAAATCTGTGTGCCCTAAAAATGCAGCTTTTGCTACAATACTCTCCTGCCCTTCTGACACTATCCTGCACAGAAAGTCCACCGAGTCCAATAGCTGCTTGTCCAACTTCCAGGATAAATGATACCCAGCCTCCTTCAACCAGTTCACAGGCAGTGATGGCTACCCCACCCATGATTTTAGTTGGTTCTCCCATTCCCTTTCAATGAAATAAACTTACAAGGTCCGGGGGGGGGGGGGGGGGGGGGAGAGGGGAAGGAGGGGAAGGAGGTAGCAGACAGCACCTGCATGTGTAAATGACCAAGAATTCTATAGGCAGCTTAACACCTGCTCCTACCTGTGGTCTGATATTCTTGTAAGGACAATAGGATTCTATAGATCTGTAGTGTTCCATGTTACATGCTGGACTGCCCCACTCCTCCGCCTCTTCTATAGTCAGTGGTAATGATGTGTCCATCATTGTTTCCAGAACGTCCAGAAAAGGGGCCTGCCAGCAACAAAAAATATATAGTTATATTTCAGAAAATCTAGTTTTCATGTCTTTCAGTAATTACACAGTTAGGTCGAAAAATATATAAAACATCCATCTAGTTCAACCAGTAGAACTAAACAGAAAACCACTGATATATCCACAGCTGATCTGGAGGAGGACAAAACAACCCCAATAAAGCATGATCCAATTCGCTCCAGCAGGGGGAAAAAAATCCTTCCTGATCCCCTGAAGGCAAATTGATATTCCCTGAATCAACAATCTCTGGTGGTACTACCTATAAATGTTCATATCCAGGTATATTTTGTGCATTTAGGAATGCATCCAGCTATTTTTTAAACAATTTTTACATAGCTGGTCAGAACTAGTTCTTTGTGGGCCTAGTCCACATTTTCACAGCTCTTACTGTGAAGAAGCCTTTCGGTATGTGAAGGTTAAATCTCTTCCTCCAGACATAAAGAAAGCCCCCTTGTCCTCTGTAGTTCACTATATGGACCACTTGTGTATTAGTACATGGTGTAAAGTTCAGGGGGGATAACATCTCAGGATCACGTGCAAAGCCTTTGCTTTACAGAAAACAAAATAAAAGTTTTTTTTTTAAGATAAACCAAAACCAGAGCTTCCATCAGCAAAAAGTAGGGCAATTTAACTAGTTCCCGCCCTAACCTACAGCAGATTGATAGCCGGGTGGGCGTTTCGTCCCCCAGGGTGGACATAATATGACATCCTCCCAGTCATGCCGCTTGTGCACTTCCCCGGGGGTGTGCAGCGTAGCAATCGGCAGTGAGTTGCGTTCCATGGACACAGCACATCACCAATCAGGGTAAAGAGCCAATGATTTTGGCTCTTTCCCATGTCACAGCTGATCACATGTACACAAATGGCAGTTATTGGCATTTTCTTTTTCCTCAGCGCTGTCTTTGTCTGAGGAAAGGAAAGCTGATATTCAGGGCACTGATCATCTGTGCAGCCCCATCAGCACCTCTTTACTTATTTGCAAATTTTTTTCCAAAAATGTTTGGTCTCTTTTTGTTTGTTTAGTAAAAAATAAAAAAAAAACAGTAGTGATTAAATGCCACCAAAAGAAACCTCTATCTGTCTCAAAAAAAAAAAGATAAAAATGGGTCGTGGATGGGTGTTCCAGCATGACAATGACCCAGCATGACAATGTGGTCAGATGAGACCAAAATCGAGCTCTTTGGCATCAACTCAACTTTGGAGGAAGAGGAATGCTGCCTATGACCCCAAGAATACTATCCCAACTGTCAAACGTGGTGGAAACATTCTGCTTTGGGAGTGTTTTTCTGCTAAGGGGACAGGACAACTGCACCGCATCAAAGGGATGATGGATGGGGCAATGTACCATCAAATCTTGGGTGAGAACCTTCTTCCCTTAGGCAGGGCATTGAAAATGGGTCGTGGATGGGTGTTCCAGCATGACAATGACCCAAAACACACGGCCAAGGCAACAAAGGAGTGATTCAAGAAGAAGCAAATTAAGGCCCTGGAGTGGCCTAGCCAGTCTCCAGACCTTAATCCGATTGAAAATCTGTGGAGGGAGCTGAAAGTTCGAGTTGACAAACGTCAGCCACCAAACCTTAATGACTTGGAGAGGATCTGCCAAGAGGAGTAGGCCAAAATCCCTCCTGAGATGTGTGCAAACCTGACGGCCAACTACAGGAACCATCTGACCTCTGTGATTGCCAACAAGGGATTTGCCACCAAGTACTAAGTCATGTTTTGTGAAGGGGATCAAATACTTATTTATGTTGCTATTCTGTCTCTCAGTGTTACAGTACCCCTACCATTCGATTTTTAGACTGATCATTTCTTTGTGAGTGGGCAAACATTCAAAATCAGCAGGGGATCAAATACTTATTTCCTTCACTGTATGCTCATAACGTTCCTTCAGGAACTGAAGGTCATCTCACAGCACCTCTAATGTATGTCAAGTGTCTGTTTAGTAAAGTACCTCCAGGATCATCGCTTGAAGAAGCCCGGGATCAGAATTGGAAAGAGCTCCGGCCACAACTCCTCCTGCGCTGGAAGCCATAATTGCGGTGTAACAGGGCTGCGAAAATCCCAGATGGTGAATGTGCTTTATACAGGCCTGAAGATCGTGTACACCATTCAGCTTTCTATCCAGAATCCCCTGTCTATGCCAGCTACAGCCGAGTTCACCGCCACCTCTGCAAGAGGACAACAAAGTTAAAGTGCCTGGGAATTGAAAAAGAAAACGCAGCCAAATGCAGTACTTCTTTGCAATGCATGCACACATTTTACATTGCTCTCAGTACAGAAAAAAACCTGGTAATCCTCTGGAAATCCAGAGAGCTCCTAACTTCCTAAAGTGGGCTGATTAACCAGACAATAACAACCCAATTGTCTAAAAAAGCCGAGCTGTAGGGGAGTACCTGTCCTCTACAATTAACCCCCTTCTCAACCCTGCCCCAAGCTGACTCTCCACAACGCATATTGATTTCCTTCCCAGCAAAACAATGCTGCCACCCTCACTTCTAAGAGAATGTCTACACATTGCATGAAGGGAAAGGGCTCTTGGAAGATGTAGTTCTGGAGGGCATGCCTACACCAATAAAAACTGACTTAGGGCACCCTGCTGATCTTCTACCATCAGTTGCCCCCTTTTACAAGCCTGGTGATGTTGGCAAGGACAGTAATAAATAGAATAATGTGAAAAGATTGTAGATTGTAAGCCCTTCTAGATTGTAAGCTCGAAAGAGCAGGGCCCTTGAATCCCTCGTGTTCTGTTTTGTTACTGTATTGTCTCATGTACTGTCCCCCACTATAATGTACAGCGCTGAGCAAACCTTTTAGCACTGTATAATAATAATAATGTAATAAAATAAATCATTTGGGCATTTGCTCTGCAGGAGTGGTTTGTAATCTTTTTTTGAGTCACGGACCCCTTTAAGAATCTGTATAATCGTGAGGGTGCATAGCTTTCATCAAATTTAAATGGTAAACAGGGGACAACAACAAATCAGGAGATGCTTAGCTGACGGAGCTATAAGCAGAAGCGGGGTGCATTGTATTTCATTTCCTGTAATGAGAATCTATTGATTGTGACAAGGGAAAGGGGGGGGGGGGGGGGGGCTCAATGTAAAGGTTATTTTTTTGACCCCCTAAACCCATCCACGAATCACTACCGGTACCATGGACCCCAGGCTAAGAACCCCCCTGCTCTAGAGGGAGACAGGGAGGTTTGGGGGGGGGGGGGGGTTGTATTACACAGATGTGTATGATCCTGTTTACACAGATGCATTGACGACACTTGCCTAAGAGAGGCGCAGTCACTAGGATTGCAGAGGGAGTGATCAGTCAGTTCTCATTCCAGACCCTCTCTGTTCTTTGGTGCTTGGAAACTAGTGGCCAGGCAGCATTGGTTCCTAGGACACTGGGTGCAAGGCCACACATCTTTGGTTGTTAGGACGCTGGTGGCCAGGCCAGTGATGCTGTGTGGACTAGTTGCCAGCTTCCTAACAACTAATAATACAGTATGGTCTGGCTGTCAGCACTCTAACACCAATGAAAGAAGAGGGGGTGGAACAGGCCAACTTGGTGAGAACCCTTTAGCTAACTCCCAAAGGCATGGTAAATGAACAGGGGGCAGTGGCAACTGAGCTCATGGTTAGTAACAGCCACAAATTGGGCTTCCAACAAGGGAGAAGCATAAAAGCTGGAAAGCATGGAATAACAAAGGGATTTTCTTCATATTTCAATACTGTTTCACTGGGAAGGCTACAACAGGTGTTTAAACCTGGATGTATGGACCTGAATTAATTTTTTAATGCTCCTGAAAGTGTCTTCTTTAACTACCTCAATACTACTGTGCAGGGGCAGGCTGACCATCTGGAAACTCGGGCACTGCCTGAGGGCCCAGAGTCAGTAGGGGGCCCCATGAGATGCCCCTGGTACCTTTTTCATAGGCTTTTTTGACTTTGGGCAAGGACACAGGGGCCCCATGATCTCCTATTGCCCAGGGGCCCCATGAGTTGTCAGTCCGCCCCTGCTACTGTGCGTATATATACGGCATTGCATTGAGGTAGTTATACCAGGATCATGTTTGAGGCTACAGTCATGATCCTGGTAGCATTTATTTTGACAGCAATAAAGTTGATGAAAAAAATGGTAGCCTGTAAAGGCTTTTAAAGCGTTGCCTATGGATAATTTAATTTATCGCAGTTTGTCACTGTTTCATGATGTGCACAATTTTAGGCACTTGACCCCATTGCTACTCAGCACTGCGCTATTTGAAGTGGAAATTGCACAGTTATGCAACACTGAACAAATTAAATTTGTATAATTTTTTTCACATAAATAGAGCTCTCTTTTGATCACCACTGGGTTTTCTATTTTTTTGCTACCCCCCCCCCCCCCCCCCCCCAATATTTTCTACTTTCTGTTACAAAACATATTCAATAAAATCAAATTTCTGCTATGGTATATATATTTGAAAATTGATCAGTCCTGATGTACTGACGACCTATTGCATTTCTTGAGGCTCTTAAAATGCCAGGTCAGCACAAATATCCTCCAAATTACCCCTAATTGAAAAGTAGATAGTTCAAGCTATTTAGTAAGAGGCATGGCTAGTTTTTTGAAGTTGGAATTTTTTTTTGTCACAATTTTTTTGAAGATGAAGAAATTAAATAAAATTTGTTTTTCACAATATTTTTTTACATACTATCACCAGTGTGGTACAGCATCATCATATGACTGGTGTGGCAGTGATCAGGGATACGAACTGGTGATAGTATGTTAGAAAAAAGAAAAGGTAAATCATTTTTATTCAATTTTTTTTACCACAGTTTTTACAGACTTTCATCAGAGTAGTTCAGCATCACCATAGTGACACTGTACTACTCTGGGGGGTGATCAGGTATTTTTTTTTTTACACTTTGCTGTTACAGTGCTGATCATTGTAACAGCAATGGTGTGAGCTGTCATGAGTGGGTTACATTCATAACAGTTGAAATTTACCATTGTGTACAGCTATCACATGGTACAGGGTGCTGTGACTGGCCCAGGTAACGTGATTGCTGTGGGCAAATTACAACATCCCTATAGGAAACACAGATGAATGAAATGCATTCATAACAGCTTTGTTCACATTGTGATCGCATAGTGATCACGTGATGCTCCGGCCAATCAAAGTGGCTGGGTACCGGAAGCTGCAATCCGCAGTCCACAGTGGAATGGAGTGCTCCTAACCTGAAAGGGACTGGATGTTGTTATTATATTATACAGGTTTTATATAGCGCCAACAGTTTGCTCAGCGCTTTACAATATAACGGGAGACAATACAGCAACAATACAGTTCAATACAAGAGGGTTTAGGAGGGCCCTGCTCCTTAGAGCTTACAATCTAGGAGGGAGGGGCTAGTAGTACAAAAGGTAGTAACTGTGGGGGATGGACTGGTTGGAAGAGTAGAAGATTTCATTAATAGCTGAGGGCAGGATAGGCTTCCCTGAAGAGATAGGTTTTCAGAAATTGCCTAAAAGTGAGCAGAGTAGGCAATAGTCTGATAAATTGGGGTAGAGAGTTCCAGAGGATGGGGGAAGCTCTGGAGAAGTCCTGGAGACGAGCATGGAAGGAGGAGACAACGGAGCTAGAAAGTAGGAGGTCGTGTGAGGAGCGGAGAGTACGGTTTGGGTGGTATTTGGAGACAAGATCGGTGATGTAATTTGGGGCAGAGTTATAAATGGCTTTATATGTTATTATTAATGTTTTGAATTTTATCCGTTGGGCAATGGGAAGCCAGTGGAGGGATTGGCAGAGAGGGGTGGCAGATACAGAATGGTTAGTAAGGTATACATGAATGTGATCCAGCCAGCCCATGCTGCCCTGCCGCAGTAAATGTACTGTGGCCGGGCGGCAAGTAGTTAAAGCGAGACATGATTGATATCTATTTACTCGGCGTAACATCATCTTTTATATTTTACAAAAAATTGGGTATTATTTTCTGTTCACTAAAATTCATTAAAGTGTATTTTTTTCCAAAATATTTGCATTTGAAAAACCGCTGAGCAAGTATTGCGTGACAAAAAAATCCAACACCCACCATTTTATTCTCCAGGGTCTCTGCTTAAAAAAAATATATGTTTGGGGGTTTTAAGTGATTTTCTAGCCCAAATTAAAAAATAAATTTTTACATGTTTCAGAAAAATGTCAGAATTGGCCAGGGAGTCAGGTGGTTAAGGATTTTCACAGAAGTAAAACATTTATTTTTACTGTGCAGACATTACCTCACATGGCAAAAAGCCAATATCCAGCCATCTTCAACCAGCAATTTGTTCTCAGCTTTAAAATTCATACTCAAGTCCATCCCGTAGGCTCCATACACATGGACCAGAAGAGGCCGCTGTGAGAGTCCATCGCCCGCTTCACAGAAAACAGTAATTGGTACCAAAGTGCCATCCTGTCAACAGCAAGTGAATACATGTCAAACTACAGATATACCATATCATGCAGACAATGCCCCATGATAGGCAGCAATCCTGGGACAACTAAGACACCATCCTCCCCATTCTGGATAACTGAAGGAATAGAGAACGATCTTCTCTACCATTTACCAGCTTCTGCCTCGACTTCCAGGAAGCTTTATCATATTTTAAACAGCCTAATTCTAAAGGCAAAAAAGTATTACTAAGCCACCTATGCTGAGTTCTGTGTACAAAATCCTACATTTACACAGAGACTGACTTGTTTCGTATACTGGTTACCATTTTAGGCTACTCGAGGATTACAGTATACCTAATGCCAAATCTCTTGCCAATTTCTTTAATTAAATTAAAAAGTAGAACTTCACCGCCAAAAGTAATTTTTGGTATCTTGCACCAGCCCTCCCAATAAGATTTGTAATTTATTAATTTATTTTTACTTTTTTTTTGTGCTGCAAGCTCAAAAATCAACTTTTTTGGTCGAGGAGAAGGAAGGGGTGCCGACAGGGCAGCCCACAGTTCGATTTTCAGCCGACTTGGGCTGAATAAGGGAAATCAACTGATTCCTCCATGCACACTATACAACATGGATAGAGGAATCCTGCTGCTGGCTGCTGTAGTTAGCAGTTGCTGCTGAACACCCAGACAGTGGCGGCATCTGACTGGATTCAGCCACAGTTTGGCCAAAAATGTTCTAACTAGCATCTCCAACAAAAGTGAAGTGTAATATTGTGCTTTTGTTGAGTGCAGGGGTGCTGACAGGGCCACTCATAGCACAGATTATGGTAAATTAAGCAGGAAATGCCCAATATTTAAACCATGTATGGCCAACTTTAGGCTTGTAACCTAGCTGTCGGGGAAAGGGCGGAAGTAAAATTAAGGCATTGAAGGTTTTTGGTTCAGGGACTGTTGGACTGTGTTTCTGTTTCCGTGACTTTAATTGGGCTTTGATAGAACAATATGTATTAAAATGGAACCTCAAATAAAAGATAACGTATTTCAAATGCAGGGTCTGCTTTTGATTCTTTTTGTTCCTTTGTTTTCACCTGGAGGTCCTGCTGGTGACCCTTCCTATCCTTTGGTGATGGCTCTAGCTCACTATGCTGGATCTCTTTAGGAACGTCATTGCCGCTCTGGGCTGCAGATGCCTTCCCACCTTCTTAGTATTTTACTGATTGAACCCAATGGACGTGTCTTTTCCAATCTACATACCCTTTACAAACAGGTTGGAGACCCTTCCTATCCTTTGGTGATGGCTCTAGCTCACTATGCTGGATCTCTTTAGGAACGTCACTGCCGCTCTGGGCTGCAGATGCCTTCCCCAGTTATTTAAATGGGCTGCCCTACATATGACAAACACAGAAGAGTTGCCTGACTCTTTTCCAAACCATACCACACCAAACAACATGGTGCTGTGGTGCTATGAAGTTTGGCATGCATTAAAATGAATGCATTTGCAGAGGTGTTGGGATGCCATTACTGTAACCCCCCCTCCCCCAAAGAATATATTTTCAGAATGCAAAAATCCTTAAGGACAAAATACATTTTTTTATTTATTTCAGGTACTTATATAGCGCTGTCAATTTACGCAGTGCTTTACATATACATTGTACATTCACATCAGTCCCTAACCCTCAAGGGGCATACAACCTAAGGTCCCTAACGTATATGCCTACATACACATACTAGGGCCAATTTAGACAGGAGCCAATTAACCTTCCAGCATGTCTTTGTAGTGTAGAAGGAAACTGGAGTATCCGGAGGAAACCCACACAGGCACAGGGAGAACATGCAAACTCCAGGCAGGTGGTGCCGTGGTTGGGATTCAAACCAACGACCCTAGTACTGCCAGGTGGAAGTGCTAACCATTTAGCCACAATGGTGGCAGTTGCAATTTTTTATCTAGCAAGGTATTTGTGAATTTATCATACACATATTTTCAGGGAAAAATACACACAAAAATAAAACCAAACAAATATTTATTTAGTAAAAATACACAGTAAGAAAAATACACACAGTTTTAGTACACACAAACACTACAAACATATCTTAAAATATAAGATTGGGCTGTGTCAAGTAAATAGATACCAAACATGTCAAGCCCTAAAACTGCACACGCCTGTAGAATTGCAAAGAATGATGGTACCCCAAATTCTCCATAGACAACGCTTCAAAAGCTTTTACAGTTCAACCTTTTAGGGTTAACCGGCAATTCTGGCCCTAGCATTCTTGTTCTTAGTCTGACGTTCGCAACGATACCTCACATGTGAGGCACAATTCATGTTTACAGACATGTGCTCACCCTATACTGTGCTTTTTATATGGGGTGTGTACGGGAGTGACAGGGGTGCATTAAAAATGTTATTATTATAATTTAATTTTTTTTATTACACTTTTCAATTTTTTTTCCAACTTTATTGCTATCACAAGGTGGCTAACAAGCTTCCTGAGACCCCCTCTATCTCCCATGCCTTCCAATGCAGCTATTCAAACAAAAATCGTGCTTGACAGATGTAACCCCAGAAGTCACGTAATATGCTCTTGGGATCATTAGTTGCAGTTGGGATCAGGGAACTATACCGATATTATTATACAGTATTTATATACTGTATACAGTATTATATACGTCACTGCCGCTCTGGGCTGCAGATGCCTTCCCACCTTCTTAGTATTTTACTGGTTGAACCCAATGGACGTGTCTTTTCCAATCTTCATACCCTTTACAAACAGGTTCTTCCATATTCCTATTGTGACAGGTTCCCTTGAACTAAGACTAGACTAGCACAAACCTTGCTTTTTGCTTTCAGGCGGAAAACTTGGCAAGTCTCGCTCTTCCGAATGGCATGATCGGCTTCAATCGACAAAGTGTTTTCTAGTACCGAATAAGCAAATGCGATTGGTTGATGTACAGGAGACTCCAGGTAAAACTGAAGGAGATCGGAGCCTCGTTCTGGGTGCACCACCAGCTGAACCGCACAGGCCCATTCTGGGAGCTGGACAGAAATAAAAAGGGAAAATAACACGCTCATTTCTCAGGAAATTCAATGTCCGTATTTAGACTTGTAGAAATCCTTGAATACGTGTGATAGATTTAATCTGCAAAGCTGTTTCACCTCAATTCATATGATAATTATATATACGGATATCAGAGCTGAAGAAAGACTTTACGTGCTCAGAACAAAACATTCGCTGACAGTGGCGTAGCTTAAATGGTTCGCTGCACTCAACTTGTTAATAACCTTTTTTATTTAAACACTATAATGAAATTCAATCACTATTTCAATTAAAAAGCAAACTATGAAACAGGTCATGATTTTCTTGTCAAAATTTAATTTGCTCTGTGAAGTGATATTTAAAGTCAAATTCCATTTACAAAGGAAAAATGTTTACTCTTCCACCTATTGAAAGTGAACGGGGTGACGGTGACAGGGCTGATGACTTGTTTTGTCCCCAACTTGCACTTCTCTGCATAAGCAGACACTGTCTAAAATGTAAAAAGATAAAGTAACAGGCATTGTTTTCAAGTCGCTAATTTAAAATTTATCTAGAAATTCATTTTGCTGAGGTTTTCATGTTTTTAAAGGCTTGCCATTCTCCATAATTTTAAAACAAATCAAATGCAGGCCTGTGGTCAGTCAGGGCAGGGTCATACTTGGCAATCCATTAATATCCTTTATTTAACAAATGCTGGATATTACAGGACGTTGTGCAGATTATAAGATCCATACAAGACGTCTCTAAATACAGGATACAGAATGAGAAGAGGGTCTGAACAAGCTTAGAAACTAAAGGTGTGTGTAGACTTCCTGTGCATGTATGATCCATCTGTGCTTAACACTTTGAGGACCAAGGGACGTATTTGTCCCATGTTTGTAATTGCGTGTATCATCTGATTAAGAACTTAAAACTCTTTTTTTTTGGTTTGAGTCAAAATATTAGTTCTTATCAACAAACAACAAATGGATCTAGCTTTTTTGCCAATTATTTCATGAAATGGCTTAGTTACAGCAACTGAAGTGTACGAACTTTAAAAACAAAACAATTGATTCTTTTGGCGTTCCAAAACCTTACGGTCCTCAAAGAGTTAACCCCTTAACACAACCTCCCGATAGCCCTTTAAGTGGTCTTTATTTCCCAGGAGGTGGCACAGCTTTTGTATCATGTGACTGCTGCAATTGGCTCTTACACTAGTCACATGATCTGGCTCTTATGAAGAGGGGATACCCCTTGAAACGCGTAAGTTAATTAGATCCAGGTGGCATCTTCCCGAGCTAAGGAGCACATGCAGTGGATCAATTAATATTGTCTTTGATGATTTTGCTGATCGTGGTTCACAGTAGTTTGTGAGTATTCTGCCACACAGCAGTGCGGGAGTGTGATGGTGACGTTGCAGTTGCGGTTGGATTGATGAATTGTATGAGAGTGGATGGTCCGGGGAAGTGTCGCCTGGCTGTGTGGACTTGGCTGCCTGTCCCGTCCTATCACCCGGTGTGTGTCCTGTACCTCCTCCATGAGCGCTGTTCAGCAGGGTGAGAGTTGATAGTGGTTTCCAAGAAGAAGAAAAAATTGCCCTGCAAGCCGAGGGACAATCTACAGGGGAGCACTCTAATTTGCAGACCTACTCCTGGATATACCGGAGGGACCCAGACCATATCTCTCACCAATAAACACCAGGGGGACCCCCAATTGGAGAGGATCATCAGCCTCATATACAGCTGAGGGAGGACCACCCATTACCGGATGACATCTGGATTATTTATATACAAAGGCGCATTTTTTATGCGGGTCTGGTGAGTGCGCATTGCTTTATCACATACGTACACGGATACCAGGATCAAGACACCTGAGCACCTATTCTCTTTCATTAATTTGCAGGAGGACTTTCTATCTTGATCTAATACTTGTCATTTTCTGTGATTGTTTAGCGCTGCACTTTATTTACATATACATTACGGACTTTTAGGGGTTATTGGTACCTCACTTGTGCATAGCAGCTTTACAATATAAAGTACTAAGGCGCTTCTTCCCAATATCTTTATAAGTTTGTGAGTATACATCGATTTTATCAATAAATTGCCAATGTGCTAGGCTGGTGCGCCCTTTTTTTTGCTTTTGTAGTAACATGATCAAGGGCATGTCCCATTGGCTCCTGATCAGAAGCTGATGTGCAGGGGCTGTTTATTAAAGCTTGGTTCATATCTACACATGCGACCAAGTGTGGTCATGTGTAGGGCATCCCAGTTATTTAAATGGGCTGCCCTACATATGACAAACACAGAAGAGTTGCCTGACTCTTTTCCAAACCATACCACACCAAACAACAAGTTTGGCATGCATTAAAAAAATGCATTTGCAGAGGTGTTGGGATGCCATTACTGTAACCCCCCCTCCCCCAAAGAAAATATTTTCAGAATGCAAAAATCCTTAAGGACAAAATACTTTTTTTATTTATTTCAGGTACTTATATAGCGCTGTCAATTTACGCAGTGCTTTACATATACATTGTACATTCACATCAGTCCCTAACCCTCAAGGGGGTCATATACAATTTATAAAGCTTCGCTCAACATTACAAAGGTCCTAACAATGTATATGCTCTTTCGAGCTTACAACATACACATACTAGGGCCAATTTAGACAGGAGCCAATTAACCTTCCAGCATGTCTTTGTAGTGTAGAAGGAAACTGGAGTATCCGGAGGAAACCCACACAGGCACAGGGAGAACATACAAACTCCAGGCAGGTGGTGCCGTGGTTGGGATTCAAACCAACGACCCTAGTACTGCCAGGTGGAAGTGCTAACCATTTAGCCACAATGGTGGCAGTTGCAATTTTTTATCTAGCAAGGTATTTGTGAATTTATCATACACATATTTTCAGGGAAAAATACACACAAAAATAAAACCAAACAAATATTTATTTAGTAAAAATACACAGTAAGAAAAATACACACAGTTTTAGTACACACAAACACTACAAACATATCTTAAAATATAAGATTGGGCTGTGTCAAGTAAATAGATACCAAACATGTCAAGCCCTAAAACTGCACACGCCTGTAGAATTGCAAAGAATGATGGTACCCCAAAATTCTCCATAGACAACGCTTCAAAAGCTTTTACAGTTCAACCTTTTAGGGTTAACCGGCAATTCTGGCCCTAGCATTCTTGTTCTTAGTCTGACGTTCGCAACGATACCTCACATGTGAGGCACAATTCATGTTTACAGACATGTGCTCACCCTATACTGTGCTTTTTATATGGGGTGTGTACGGGAGTGACAGGGGTGCATTAAAAATGTAATTATTATAATTTAATTTTTTTATTACACTTTTCAATTTTTTTTCCAACTTTATTGCTATCACAAGGTGGCTAACAAGCTTCCTGAGACCCCCTCTATCTCCCATGCCTTCCAATGCAGCTATTCAAACAAAAATCGTGCTTGACAGATGTAACCCCAGAAGTCACGTAATATGCTCTTGGGATCATTAGTTGCAGTTGGGATCAGGGAACTATACCGATATTATTATACAGTATTTATATAGCGCCAATAGTTTGCTCAGCGCTGTACATTATAATGGGAGACAGTACACGAGACAGTACAGTAACAATACAATACACGAGGGGTTCGAGGGCCCTGCTCCTTGGAGCTTACTATCTAGGAGGGAGGGGATGGTGGTACAGGAGGAAATAGCTGTGGGGGATGGAGTGGTGGGAAGAGCGGAGGAGATCAGCAATTATGTTAGGGCGGGGTAGGCTTCTCTAAAGAGATGGGTTTTCAGGGTGTGTCTAAAGGTGAGGAGGGTAGGTGACAGTCTGATGGATTGGGGTAATGAGTTCCAGAGGATGGGGGAAGCCCTGGAGAAGTCCTGGATACGGGCAAGGGAGGAGGAGACCAGGGAACTGGAGAGTAGGAGGTCTTGTGAGGAGCGGAGACTGCGTTTTGGGTGGTAGATGGATATCAGGTCGGTGATGTAGTTTGGGGCAGTGTTATGAACAGCTTTGTACATCAATGTTAATATTTTGAATTTTATGCGCTGGAAGCCAGTGGAGGGATTGGCAGAGGGGGGAGGCGGATACGGAGCGGTTGGTGAGGTGGATGAGTCTGGCCGCAGAATTCAGGATAGACTGAAGCAGGGATAGCCTGTGTTGGGGTAGGTCGGCGAGGAGGGAGTTGCAGTACTCAAGTCGTGATATGATAAGGGAGTGAATGAGTTGCTTTGTGGTTTCTGGAGGAGTTAGGAACGTGCGTATTTTGGAGATGTTGCGGAGGTGGAGTCTGCATGAATTTGTCAGCGATTGGATCTGGGGCTGGAAATACAGATTGGAGTCTAGAATGACACCTAGTAGTTTGGCTTGCAGGGTGGGGCTGATGGTGGCGTTGTTGGTCGTGATGGAGAGGTCGGGGGGGGGGCTGGGGGGAAAACTAGGAGCTCAGTTTTAGCAAGGTTTAGTTTAAGGAAGTGGAGTGACATCCAGTCTGATATGTCGTTCAGAAGGCTAGTGATTCGGGCGGAGACTGAAGGGGTGAGGCGAGGGGTGTAGAGATAGATTTGAGTGTCATCGGCATAGAGATGGTAGTGTAAGCTGTGGGAGTGTATCAGTTGACCAAGGGAGGAGGTGTAGATGGAGAAGAGAAGGGGCCCGAGGACAGAGCCTTGAGGGACCCCAACAGAGAGGGGGAGTGAGGGGGAGGTGGCAGCATTATAGATAACACTGAAGGAGCGTTGTGACACATAGGAAGAGAGCCAGGAGAGAGCGGAGTCTCTGAGGCCAAAAGAGTATAGTTTTTTGAGGAGGAGGGGGTGGTCGACCGTGTCGAAAGCCGCAGAGAGGTCGAGGAGTAATAGCACTGAATAGTGTCCTTAGGCTTTGGCGGTTAGCAGGTCGTTGGTGAGTTTAAGTAAGGCAGTTTCGGTGGAGTGTAGGGGACGGAAGCCAGATTGTAGGGGATCAAGGAAGTTGTTGTTGGTGAGGTGAGAGCTTAGGCGAGT